ACGTGTCCCAATTTCCCCCATGGCTGCACGAACGCATCACCCGTCACAACCCCTACACTCCTCAACTAATCGGGGAATTCGTTCTAAACGCTGATTCCCATAAACCCGTTCGCCTGAACGTTGCCTCAATCCCGCAAAATATTTACAGATTTCGAACCCTAGTCGTCTTCGTGGATTTGGGCAAGTCGATAAAACTTGTTAAACACATCTATCTCCTGCTCGCAATTTTGCGCTGTTCTCCCCCCGCGCAGTACATATTCGCCCGCGTGGCTAACCCTTACAGATCTCGTGGTTCTTATGAAGGATATCATTATGGGATTTCGTCATCAAAGCTAGTCCTGTTCGGGTCACGTAGCCATGAATGGGTGAACATACCCTGTCTGCCGTGTCGTCAGTCTACACTGAAACTCAAACCAGGGTTTAACCTCCTACGCGAAATTGAAATAATGTTTCTGGGAAAGAGGTTCGTCGTACGTGGGCTAGGTGATACTGGGTTTGCTACTGTCTTGGTAACGTATGGATCTGGAAATCTCATAGTTCCATTATTGAACTCAGGATATAGGAAATTGGCAGAAGCTGGATTGACTGAGATATGGTTGTGCGCTTACTGGCAATCAGTACGGCTGAATAATATAAGGAAACAATGGAAGCACTTGTATAAGCAGTACTCGGCCCAAGTGAACAGCGGGGTCGCGTTTAAGCAAGAGTTTCAAAAATGGGCGCCAGTCTCCGTGGAAGTTGTGAAGTATATGTTTGCCGTTTGTGGGGTATTGTTGAGCGGGGCAGGATTGATGTTTTTGGTGGAGGGGAGGCGTAAGGGTGGATTTGTTTGTGGGATTATTATTACAACTGCAATATTTTTTAGAAGATTTTCTAAACCTAAACTAACGTGTAAAACGTGTTGTCGGAAACCTCATGGAAGGCCTGTGTTACAAGAACCCCCTGTCCAAGCTCAATTTGATGATGGCGACAGCCTTATTATTTACATTTAATGTGAAATTAGTTGCATGTATCTTTTGTTGTGCTTGTCGTTGTCTTCTCATGAGCAAGTTTTAGTTCATAAGCGCAACCTAAATTTTACGATTATTTTAATATTTTATTTTTGTACAAATTTTGATCAAACTTTTTTAAATCTATTTGTTCATTTTGTACATGAGAGAATTTTGCAGGATTCAAAAGTTTGAACTACTGTAGAAATATTTAACATGTTGGACACATTTATTCTCCTTCTGAAATATCTGTCGTAGATTGTTACTTGTGGAACATAATCATAATGATAACTATAATTATTGTAACATTATTATATAAGTCATGTCCAGCACTCATATCGCTAATCTTAGTACATATGCCTTGCAGCAGAAGAAATCAACATTATTCAGGGAAGTATCGTCTCCAACTGAAAAACACAACTTTTCATCTATAAATACTTATACGTAGGTTTCCTTACAATGCGTAGGCGCCAAGTGTTTCGCTGCAATTTTGACTGGAATAATTTCACCCGATAATCAGGATTTTCAAGCGGTTGGAACTTTTTCAATTTTTCGATCCTAATTCAAGAATTAAAGAATATGTATGAGCGTTTGCTCAGAATTCTTTGCACCAAACTATGAGAAGCATATTTTTTTTAATACCCATATATGTACATACATAATTCTGAGCATGTAAAAATTTCTAGTGCGGCGGCGATTTTATTTAAAAAAACTCCACAAACGCAGGGACATGCGATTGCGTTTATTTCTGGTCCTGACCAATTTAAATTAGACCGGTCAAAATCTTAGCAAAACACTTCCCGCCTACGCATTGTTACATAGCTACCTGCTTTTTGTTCAGAATACTTACTAAACCTTGCTCCTTCAACTTGCGTCAGAAGCCCGCAAATGTGGGGATACTCCTGCGGACACTTTATCAATTCCCCGCAGTACTTTTCGCTCAAAGTTGTCCTGTAAACTTTGCTCTTCCGTTTTAACACTAACAATGCCGTGGTGTGTAACACTGTAAGACTGATTCTGGTTTAGATCTTGGAATTATACATGCAGTCCAGGGCAATACAACCAACGTTTCTTTGCGATGTTTGGAATTGGTCAAAATATTTGAGGTCAAACTTGAAAAAAATGGGCGATTAATTAACGGAACGGACTTTTCGGCGAAATTAAAGACGAATTAACGGCGAAAAATTAACGGAACGAATTTTTCGAAATTACTTATAGGATCGATGTTATGCCCGATACATATGTTAGTATCAGAATTTTGAATCTTGCGTGTCTTTAACACAGGCATATATGCTAGTAATTTGTTGTATTGATTGATCAATATCAAGAGTAGATAAACTGCTGCTAAATACTATTTACAATTGCAAATTAACCTGAAGTAAATTACTAAAATAGATGGAAAATAATGCAGCAGTAATTTCTTACTTTCTTGTGAAGAGAACTTCACCACTTGCAGCTCTTACATATATCTTGATGTTTCTTTTAAATGTTGGAGTATCCCATGAGTGAACAACACTTCATGGCCACATTTGCGCCCGACACACCCACTCAAAGGCACAAACTGATAGTCATCAAGTGATCACCAAAAATCAAACCTTACCCGGATTTTCAAATTTTTGAGCAAATAAGTACATAGTTGTTTCATCATATCCAATATAAAACTGTTTTTTTTAATTGTCATACATATATTCGAAAATATCCGGACCAGAGGTTCAAAAAAATAAAATTTTATTTTCTGAATTCTTGGCGAGGATTTGAACAAGTAAAAATAGTGCTTCCTGTTTCCTGTTTTTGGCCTCTTTGAGTCGATGCTGCCATGGAGTCAAACCTCCATTAGAAACACTAAAAAGTTGCGGTTGAATCATACATATATGTTTACTTTCTGGATAGAATTTTAACCACACCTTTTAGAGTGTAACACAACATTCCAAAAGGCATCAGAATCTGTGAAGGGCAGGTGGTGAAGCTTCCCTCCTTCGTGGGTGTTGTTCAAGGAAAACAAAACCATTAACGGGCTGGGTTTAATAGACAAATTAACCGTAACTGTTTAGATATTCAGAACGTAATTGTTAGAGCTTCTGTGTAATAGGAAACTTTAGTTGATAGTTTCAACTTGATACATATCTATGTATACCCTCTTTACTCCATTAGTATATGATTAAAAGCAATTAGTGAATTGCCGTCCCTAATCCTGGAGTAATTAAACTAATTTCGTACTCCTGATTTTCGTACTAATTTCCGAGATATGTTATACATACATATATGAATTCCTTTAGCTTCTCTAGATACTAGATATTTCAAAAAACTTAGGCTACATACATATTTTGCGATTTTAATGTAATCTAATAATTTCCTAAAGTGACCCTTATAATTTCTTTTACTTTAAAACATCTCGAAAAATTGTATTGCATAATGTGGTTAAAAACTTTCAAACCACTTTTAATCTACCATCTACGGATTTGTAACTTACTTAAGTGTACTTTGTTTCAATGGGATCATACCTCAGAACAAATTATGGTGCCAAAAAATTGCACAATTTTGCACCATTATTTCCAAAAATTGCAAGTCTTGTCCCATCTCGCGTACGTGGTTGCGATAACGGCAAAAGTAGGGCTGGGAAAAGATCCTTTAGCGGCAAAGTGTCAGGGTGTAGTTTTCCTAGGAATTTCGCTCGTCCTTTTACTACCACGATGGCATTTCAAAGGAGTTAATGAACCGTGTCAAAGTTTGAATGCGTTCCTTACGTTTGAAAAAACAATACGGAAAAATGGTGAGACAAACAATTAACTGAAATTGTAAAAATAATGTCCCGTAGAAACTCAAATAGTTACCTAGGGCTACTATTGTCACTCTACTATGTATTATTTGTGTTTCCGGAATCAGGCTGAATCTAAATTTTAATAAGAGCATCAATCTCGCCCTTATAATCGTAGTCGATAAATTGTAAGAATTTTATTCTGTTCAATCAGTTCGATAGTTTGTAACTGTGATAAAATTGAATTGCAATTGAATTATTTAAGTGATTTGGCATGAAATATGTTGTATTGGCGCCGGAAATGAGGATGCTTCTATAATCCGAATAAGAATACAATTTGGAAATGGCTACTATTTATTACGGCAATGGCTATTATTTGAGGTCACTATTACGAAAAACCCACTGAAACTATTTGAGTTTTTACGGTAAATATGTAGATTCTGGTGACCCACGTGTTATTTAATTTAATTTAATTTTAAGGTCCACTACCCACCCCATCCATGGAGGATAAGATACTCGCTCTTTTCCTCAAACTCTTGGCAATCACGTCCGTCGTGATTCCACTCATGGTCATCGTCATGCAACTTCACAGCCCTTGCGCCGTCCCATTCTTCGGATCAATGTCCCCATATTGCGAAAAGAACGTATGGACACCGCCCTGTCCTTCTGTTCGGGTGGGAATGTTCGCCGTGGAATATTGGATCTGGTTGCACATCGCGTATGAGGGAACGTTTTTCATGTTTTACACCTTCTTCGTGGCAATCGTGTGTATGTTGGATTATCTGAAATATGTGGAAAGGTAAGTAAGTTTACAAAACGGCCTAGGGTTGATTGCCATAACTTATTTTGCACAACATTCATATGCATTCCCATTAAGGTGATTTGTCTAATTTTAAAGTATAAAAAACAAAAATTTTGTCTAATGAATATTTGCATAATCTTCGTTTCGCACGTTTGGTAGGGAAGTTTTAGTAAACTTTTAATGTCCAGTATAATTTTAATACCTAGCGGTAACAAGTTTAATACGGAGAAATCAGTGCAACCATCATTGACTGTTACCGGAATTCGAAGTGTAAAATTATGCGATATCCAATTATGTAAAGTGTTCCTTTATGTGAGGAGGTGTTTAGTCAGCAAAGATTATAGAATATGACATTTATGCAAAATACCTTTATGCAAATCCACGAAACACAATGACAGAATAAGCATTATTTTAATTGTTCACATACACAGATTAATCAAGGACTTGGGAAATGGAGGAGATAGTGATGAAAACAAGGACATTCCGGTCGCACAAGTTTTTCGCACCTATCGCTGCATCCAGTTGTTGGATAAGGTGCAAAACTCAGCCATGAAGGGTCAAGTGGTCCCCGCAGTGCTCGGTCTCATCCCACAGATTCAAGTTTTCTCATTATTCGTTTGCATCCGATTATACGCGAGCATCCAGTTGCCCAACTTTCTCTTATTTCCACTCATCTTAACGGATGCGACGGTCGTCAATTTGGTCATAAATACCTTGGCTGCTGGAGTGCATACCAATTCGTCTCTTGTGTTGAAAAATATGACCCGAGGGCTGCAGACTTTTCCGGTGCGATCCGGTTTTAGAAAGGAATTGAGAGCTTGCCAACCAACAAAGGTGCAATTTGGACAAAATTTTGTAGACAAGGGAACTCCTCTGGTGATAGAGAACTTTTGTTTTAATTCAACCGTGTCCTTGCTTCTGTTTCATGGGAGAACTTCTCATGATTAATATGAAGAAAAAAAACACGTTTAAGGCTAATTTACTTGGGTATTTTTTGCCAATTTTTGAAAAATACAGCTCTCGTTAAATTTCACATTGGCCAAATAACCCGGAAAAATTACTACATACTGCAAGGGAAAATTGAGATACAAAAGATATAAATTTATGTATGTTCGAAATTATGTATGGTTATAAATTAAAACGATGCACTATATGTATGTAAAAGTTTATCTTGACTAAATATTGTGCGTTGTTAATTGATTTTTTGTAAATTTGTGGCTAAGTTTAATTACCATAATTACATACGTAGGATTGCTTTTCATCGTTTAATAAATAAATAAATAAGGTCAGTATTGATTGACTTACTAATAGCAATTATATCTACCTCAGTAACTTGATTTCATGAATTGTACGTAAATGAATAAGACATTGTATTACAATCAACGAGGTATTAAATTGATTACTTGCAATACATACCTATCTGTAATTCCCCAGTCAATAAAATAATTACGCAAATATTGCAAACGACCGATAAATATTATTGCCAAGATATTAATGTTTGATACATACATAAGTACAAATTATGTGTATGAATGTACCTATTAAATATATACATAAAAAGTTTATTTACAATGAGTAGGTGTAACTATTACGGGATTAATTTTGATTTGTTCACGCGAAGAAATAAATAAACGGGTTTCAGCCAAAATCTGGATTTTTTAAAATGTTGTAGCTTTTCGAATTTTAACCCAATTCAAAAAGTTGGACACAATTTTTGCTCAGAGTTAGGTAGTTCCCTGAAAATATAAAAAAATCAGCAGCAGGCTAATTTCAGAAATGGTTTTAACACGTATTGCGAAGCAGACGCGAGAGGAAAATCTGAAGTACTGATTATGTATTATGAACTTTCCTGAGTTATGATAGATTTACAAGGGACTTAAATATTGAGGATGGAGCTTTGTGTATATATAGCTCCATCCCAGGGCTGTGGTACTTAATTACTTTTGTACTTAATTACTTACTTAATTACAGAACTTGAAGTAATTAGTAATTGGTAATTGATTTCAATTACTCCGGTATTTGTCAAAGTAATTAAGTACTTTAGTACTTGGAGGACCTGGAGTAATTAAAATTGGAAGTACTTAATTAGTTTGCCAAGTAGTAATTAGTAATTGAATACTCAATTACTTTGATCAATTACTTAATCGAACATACTTGGAATGAAATACGACAAGCCTCCCTCTCCCGAAGAACTCGAATTATGTAAATATCTTTTGTTGTGAACGCTTTGGTCATCATTCCCATTCAGCATTTGGACTTCAAGCTTAGTACAATTTTATATTACAATTGTTTCGACCACCTGTGTTCCATGAACTGCAAAAATTACTTCAGCAATCTCGTTAGTCAGATTCAGATAAAATACATTGGGTAGAAATGTACGCATTAACAATTTTAATGTTGTAATTGTGGGAAGAAAAGGCCATTATCTATCTGGAGTAAAGATCCACAGCAATTTTAAACTTTTGGATCATATAAGATGAACTGTTTGCTGTACCAAGATATTTATAAAAGTTTTATCCTATTCGGAAATGAATTTTTGGTCGAAAGTTAGCCTTTAAATAGCGTTTAATTAGTCTTAAGTATGAGAATTAAGTAATTAGTAATTAAGTAATTGACTTTCAATTACTAATAAGTAATTGGTAATTGAAAGTCAATTACATTCTTGTAAAGTAATTGTAATTGATAATTAAGTTCAATTACTGGACAAAGAAGTATTTGTAATTAGTACTTAATTCCAATTTTCGCAGTCGGAGTAATTAAGAATTAAGAATTAATTACTTCCATTGGTAATTGAACAGCCCTGCTTTGAGTACCCTAATTAAGTTTTAATAGTTAGCACTTCAGCAATTTCAATAGGATTGAAAAGTTAATCTGACAACCATTGATGTTAAAGGATTATTTTAGTTTTCATTTTTTAATTTTGAGTGAGCTGATAAACAAAACGTTTCCACAAACCCCGAAATATTTTAGTATAGCGACGTCCTCGCGATACTTGTGGTACGAGTCGCAAGCAATGTCTCCCATTGAGTGGTCAGCAATTGGAGATGGCGTCCGATGAACAAATTCGTCCCAAATACTTAATCCTTTTCCTGCAAATTTTGATTAAGGAGTTAATCGACTAATCAAATACTTCGGATTAGATTAATCAATTAACTTATTTACCATCCTCTAACCATGCTCCCTCCGTCTGAAAGTAACTCAAATATTATTCGGCATATTTACATCCTAAATAGAGAAACTCCTGAGGTGTTCACTTTGCTACCAGTTAGAACTCTGAATTCGACGGACACCTCAGATATTTCCCTGGTAAGATAACTTTTCGTTTGTTCAGGGCTTAGAAACAGGCCTTAGTTTGGTCAATTTGGGCAGTAGTTGCAGAAGCGTGGGGACATTCGAATTGAAAAAGAGCGGCTTGTCCAATATGGGGGGATGATTTGGACACCAAAAACATTCTCCCTCTGCCCCACGGCAACTGATTATGGGAGCAACAGTCTACCAAATAATTTAACGCACCCTCTCACCTGATAACTTCCAGAGGAAAATCCCCACTGAAATTGTGGAGGGAATACGTCAAATAAAAATTTGTCATCGTCAGCTTCACTCGAATCCGAGATCAACACAAGAGCTATGAACACTTTACTAATGGCGGTAGTGATCATCGTTCCATCGTAACAGGTTTGTGAATATGTGTATGTTTGGCAAGTGCTTACATATGTACGTCAACAGATGCGGTGGACACAAATTAGTTAAACAATAAGCTATTCCCAAATAACTAAGTTTGATGAATGGATAAATCTTCGTCCATTGTCCAAACACGATAACAAAGGGTTGAGTTGTGTGTAACGAGACATATTTTTAGGCTGATGACGTTTTTCCCGAGAGCATAATAAAATTGGGTTGCATTGAATATGTAAAAGAAATTTTGCTGGAATGGCATATTTTTGACTTGCAGATGTGGTCTGGTTCGTTGGCAGGTTTATCGCTAGAACACACCTAACCAACAGGTCGATGTCATTGTCAGTGGCAAAATTTATCCGCTGGTTGTATCTATTGACAAACTTTGCAGACCGGTTGAATAACTTTGACCTTTTGGTAAAACCTGCGCTTTTTTGCTCGACCTTGAGTAAATTTTACTCACTTTTATTAAGAGTGTACTACTTTGTTCTAAGTGGTAAATTTTGCTGACATTTTTCTTAGTTAAAGTCGATTAATTAAGGCTACTATGCCCTCTAGTTGTTGATGATTCAATGCCATCATGCCAAAAGTGTACAGACACAATGCGTCTACATATGTAAGGTTGACAGCATTTGAAGATTTCGAAAACATGGAAAATAAAATTAGCAACTAAAATTCCAAAATATTTCAAACAATCATCGTTTATTAGCTCACCCTGCGTAGCATGAGAGCTATTGAATTCCTCCTGTCCGTCCGTCTGTCTGTCCGTCTGTCTGTTAACGACCTTTTTGCATCAATTGATGCTAATTAAAATGTCCCTGCTCCATTTTTTCATAAATTAATAGCACCGTTGGTATCTGACACTCGGAAACACCAAATGATGCGAAAGAATTGGGGGCTTTGATGCATAACGCACCAATAATGCATACCACTCGGCGGATTTTATTAGACAATTTTGCCACAAATTTTTCAAAATTATCGGTGATCGTTGGTAGGTAATTCTGCACCAGTGATGCACAATTTCTGGACTGTCCTCGATGCATAATAATTATTGATCCACTTTGTTGGATTTTTCTGCACCATTGGTGCATAGTTGGATAAAAATTATGTATCTATTGTGTTGCATTTTTCTGCGCCTTTGGGGCAAGTTATAACCAAATCATTATTACAGGGTGAGCTACTTCTAACGTTACAACGGTTTATTTCTGGCTGCTTTGTACATAAATTAACATTTTCTTAACTCCCACCGCTGTGAGATATCTGACGGCTGCAAAGGTGCCAAGTCCACATCTATGCCACTGTTGTCATTTGCAACTGTAAAAACCAAGCTATCACCTACCCGGTGTATAGTGTCTTTACGAATATTTAATTGTGCCTTGCTCGTTGGAATTAAAGAAAGCGACTGAGTGAATATACGATTATTTTATCTAATTAAACTAGATTTTATTTCCGACAAATTACTAATTTGTCAACACAATTCAGAGCTCTGCACTAACACGAGTTGATTGGTGACTTACTATTAACAAATTAATCGATGACATCAATTACAAAGAATTAACAATTCTTACTCTTGATTTCCTACCACGACGACTAAATCCAAAATGTCTGACTCTGACAACGACTAAAACTCGACTGTGTAGAATTCTTCTACCTACTTACTTACTACGACTTAACAAAGAGAGACGCGCACCCAAAAATCCCACCCTGACGTCACCATGGCAACCACCACCACGTCTCGGGGCAATTATAGACGCGTACTCAACAATTTACAAAAATACATAAAACAATTTCATAACTACATCATTTTACATTGAACATACTCCCACCTTCTTTTGTGAGAGCAAAAGAACTATTCTAAAAACAACTATGCAATTATCAAATTCAAATTAAGTTACACAAATAAATTACAAATTCCACTTCGGATACCGCACTGGTTTCTTGGAGATCCTATCTTGATCCTTACCACCAACTTCCGGCTCCTTCTGGACTTGCTTCTTCTCTTGACATCTTGAAATCCTAGGGGTCGGTCGCTCCCACCATTCGGCATTCTTCTCCACCACTTTCTGCACCTTCATCTTCGGCTACATAGAGGCTGGACGACTGAATCCGATGGGGTTACAAGCTTCCATCTTCCCACACGACGACTTATTCGTGTACTTGTCACTAATTGGACCAGGTACCTGTGTTGTCGAGAGTAATCTTGACTTCTTCAGAGTGAAGCTGTTGTCGTTTCCCAATCCGCACCCCCTCATGGCAGGCTGGCCGATTCTGGGAACCCCCACAACACTTCGCTCCCACCGTCTCAACTCGTCGACCTTTACACGTTTATCTTGTGAGATCTTGACTCGTTCATGCTCTTCTTGAGTTTTCTTCTCTACAGAGCTCTTGCTTGAACTAATTACAACACCAGCGCAATTCAACTTGCTATTCTTGACACCTGGAACCACTCCGCTGATAGTCCATCCAAACACGGATTCCACGGCGATTAATCCACATCCAAGTTTGACCATTCCTCCGGTCATCAAACTTCCCCACAGAACACTTCCTATCAATATGTCGACTTCGGACGCTGAAGTGTCTGTCGTGTGGATCTTCTTCCGAGCCAACTCTTTACACCAAGGGCCAGGTGGGATCGCTGGGCATGCTCCACAAATAAAGTCCTCGTTGACCAACTGGAGACTCATCCTCTTACAATCCTTCCTATCGATACCGCTGGCGTTGACCCGATAACAATTCCTTTCTTCGGTGCTGGTCACATGTCCACCGAACAAACTATTCTGAAGAGTCAACTTGTCCACTACTTGACATTTCAATTCCTGGGCAGTTTTCGTCCTGATGTATGACCTCTGACTTCCCTCGTCGAAAAGTAGCCGGACTTCTTTCTTGGCTTTATTTGCTCCGTTCACCATAACACGGAGCGTCTTCATCAGGACGGCTTTGCTCTTGCATTCCTGACTGAAGTTTGTGGTGGTTTCTTCCACCGAACTACTACTTGATTCATCTTCATTAATTGACGTCACTTCCTCATCTCGGACCTGACCAGGACACATCACAGAGTAGTGTTTCCGTCCACATATTTGGCAACTGACCTCTTTGGTACAGTCATTTGCATAATGTCCTCTTCCCAGGCAGATGAAGCATCCCCGATTCTCCTTCACCAGGATCTTCTTCTCCTCGAGAGGTAATGTCTGAGCCTTATAGAACTTCTGACTTTTGTGATTCGACTTTCCACAAAAGACACATCGCTGCTCAGCTTGATGACTTGAATAGAGACCGGCAGCAGTGGGGAAATCTTCACATTCACTCTCTGCATACACGTTTACTTTCTCTCTATTCTTGACTGGACTTTGCCTGAAGGTTGACAGCACAAATTTTCTTTCTTTGGCATTCTGTGCCTCCAGCCGCAAAAACTCCATCAGGTTTTCTAAATTGGTAGCAGAAGACAAATCTGATTTCTTCTCGCGTACCCTCAAATTACTATTCTGCCACCTGAGTAACACTTGCTGTGGCAGACTGGATTCCACTAATGGATAAATGAGTTCACTTGGATCACTAACTTTCCCCAAAGACTCCAGATTCTTCAAATGACCTTCCAACTGGTCATGCAATTCTACCACGTCGGCATCTTCTCTTGAATCCACGGCGCTATTGATAGCCAGGCCCAACAATTCTCTAATATAAATTTGGCGTAAAATCTTCTCATCACCAAACCGGGACTTCAGCTTCTCAACCACCAAAGGATATTTCTGATCCGACCGTGGATAAATCTTGATCACTTTTTCTGCTTCTGATCCGGGGACGATGGCTTGAATCAAATACTGAAACTTCACGTTTACTTGCAATTCATCATCTTTGTGAATCTGACGGTATTGAGCCCACCACCCCAACCAGCTCTTCCAACTCCCATCGAATTTCTGTAGCTCGATCTTGGGCAGTTTGAAGTTTCTATTCTTCTTGATACGCTCCCCATTCACGGTGACATAGCTGCTACTTGCACTCGGACTTGGTGGACTGATTTCTGCATTAAGAATCTTCTCAATATCCATGATAGAAACTCTGATTCTATCTGAATATTCTTCATTCACTGCACTCTCCTCCCCATAAGACTCCGCCGTGCAATTGTCATCCAACTTCTGGGTAAGCACCTTTTCATCATGTTCTCTGATCGACGTCTGCAGGGATTCCAACTTCCTTAACTTGATGGTAAGTTCTCTCGAGTCCTTTGGATCTTTCGCCAACTCAGCAACTACACCATCCACCGTCTTGGTAATGGAAGCTCGAACTGGAGCCCTCGCCTTCTTCAGTCGATCCATGATGTTATCTCAAATCCAACAAACAAAAACAATTAGAACAGTACAAGCTTATTAACTCAATCAGCAACAATGCCGACCTCTATGGCTCCCGAACGCTCAGGATGGGGCCCTCAACGAGGCAAGACAGTAATTGAGTAATAGACGAATAAAGTTGAAGTTCCTCTCGGGTCGGACACGCCGATTTCAATCTGGTCGGTCACTCCTTCCTCACGGACTACTTCACAGCAACAATAAAAAACTTGAAAGGTATCACCTGAACAGCCCCTGAATACTCAGGGTCGGGTCCTCAACGAGGCAAGGCTTGATGTGATCCTCTCCTTCGAATCTGCTCCTCGTCCAGACAGCAACACTTGCACAGGATTTCCACGGAACACTTTTTGCACGTACACCAATTCGATCTGCTCCTCGTCCAGACAGCAACACTTGCACAGGACTTCCACGCATCACTTTTTGCACGTACACCAATTCGCTCAAAAGGTCACAACTCACTGACCACTATAACTAGTCCACTTTCAACTAAAACTGACCCAACGAGCAATCACGTCGAGGTCACCACTAATGTAAAAACCAAGCTATCACCTACCCGGAGTATAGTGTCTTTACGAATATTTAATTGTGCCTTGCTCGTTGGAATTAAAGAAAGCGACTGAGTGAATATACGATTATTTTATCTAATTAAACTAGATTTTATTTCCAACAAATTACTAATTTGTCAACACAATTCAGAGCTCTGCACTAACACGAGTTGATTGGTGACTTACTATTAACAAATTAATCGATGACATCAATTACAAAGAATTAACAATTCTTACTCTTGATTTCCTACCACGACGACTAAATCCAAAATGTCTGACTCTGACAACGACTAAAACTCGACTGTGTAGAATTCTTCTACCTACTTACTTACTACGACTTAACAAAGAGAGACGACCAAAAATCCCACCCTGACGTCACCATGGCAACCACCACCACGTCTCGGGGCAATTATAGACGCGTACTCAACAATTTACAAAAATACATAAAACAATTTCATAACTACATCATTTTACATTTAACAGCAACCCTATAAATCGATATTAAACCCGAGTTTTATTAAAGACATGAGCGAATTATTTACGCACAAAATTACCCTGTATTACGAAGGCTGCTCGGTCCAGTTGAATTGTAGTATCGGTTATATATATTCCAATAATTTGTGCCATCGACTCGAACTACGTGCCAGTAACCATCCGTAGTGGGGGGTTGTGCCTCCTGTTTAATGAACAAAATAAACTGTAGTAGAGGACTTTTTTTTGCTATGAACCCCCTGAAACATTAAAATTTTGATAAATTATAATATTAGCTAGTGAAGTACATCCAAACAATGCAAAAAATGCGTGTTAAAAAAATCCACATGTCAAGGGTGCCTCTGAGGGACTCATTACATCTTTTACACATATCCCTTCATTGTGCGACAACCAAAAGTCGTAAAAATATGGGGTTTGGATATTTTTTATCCAAAAGCGATTGTCTAAAACGAACTTCAGTAAGGAGTCGCTACGTGACCTTTTTGACCAAAAGTCTGACGTTTTAAATTTACATGTATTGCGATAAAATTGGCATGCTAATAAACGGTAAAGCTTAATTTTTATAGAGGTCAAACTAAAAAAAATGTTTCAGGGGGTTCATAGCAAAAAAAAGTCCTCAGTAACGTTAGAAGTAGCTCAACCTGTAATATTAGTTAGGCTATAACTTTGCACCACGGGTGCCAAATAAGCGCACAAAATAAGTATACAATTTTTATAACATTGCACCAATGGTGTCTTGTAATTGGAATCGATACAAAATTTTCATAAAATTTTGCACTATTGTGCATTTATGTAGTCTAAGGCCACACAATAAATATTTAATTTTAACGCAATTTTAATTTTTGTCGTGAGTTCATGAAATCCTGGAGTCAAATTTGTGAAATTATTTCTACTAGTTATTGTGCACTGTTGGTGCGTTTTGCATCAATGCTCCCGATTGTCGGATAAGGGCCAAACGAACAATGGAGGTGTCCCAACGAATGCTCTCCAATTTTGTTTTAGCTAAGGGGAATCGATTAAAAATTGTATTTGTATCAATTTTACGAACTACGCGATATATGCTTGGCAAAGTTACATATTTGCATCCAAGGATGCAAAAACTCAAGGTCTGTAAATCTGTAACCTTCAAGGAGCGAGTTCTCCGGCTCTCCGCTTTGGATGAAATAACTATTGAGAGTTTTCATCTGCTTCAGATTTCATTTAAAAAATGGGGGTTTAAAGTCCGTATATATGTATAGCACATGGCTCTGACAGACTATTAACATGATAGGGTGAGTTTAACTAGGTAGGTATGGGTGGACTCCATTCGGAGATAGGAGCCAGCCTTAGCCATGCATATACAGGAGCTGGCTATCCCCAGGAGAATATTCATCCAGCACGCTGAATGCTAATTCCAAAAACCCAAGCCTCCACCCTGTTTCGACCCAGCACCGCGAGAGGATAGAGATGAATGCTGGTGTCTCCTGGCAGGGCCTCTAACCACTCTGCCATGGTGTCGGGTCAGATTTAATTTAATTATATTTATCACTCATTGGCACGAATTTCTTTAAAACCCGATAGCATGCGCTGAGAGACATCCGTTCCGTAAATTTTAATTTCGCATAGCCGCGCGTAATTTTATACTGTTTTGATATCTTTACATATTTTTTTTAAAAATCTACTCGAATGACACATTTCGTACGTACCCAAATGTGGGGGGCTCTTCCGTCAGTGTGCATTGCATGTTGCCACCGGTTTGATTCACCCAGGGCCGATCGAATTACGTACGTTGAAGTCGAACCTAAAGTTAAAAGCAATACAATTTTATAGGGGGTAAAACCAGAGTAATTTTTGTGTCATTAAGTACTTGTGAAGTCCAGCCTCCAGATTTGAGGGTTTCGGGTGCAACCGCTGCTTACGGTGTATATGTCGATTTTACTCCCGTTTTCAAGCTGTGGGAATTATGTATGGGGTGCTTAAGAAGTATCCGGAATTTTTAAATTCGCACATATAAAATAAAGTAATGAACTTATTTAAATGAAATTTTGGTTGGAAAGAGACAAGGTCTAAAACTAATTATTTTTTGCTTTCAATGGTCCATATACCCCTTTCCCCCCAATTTGGAGGAGCGTTTTTTAGACGTTTCAAAAAGTGTTTCGCCATTGTTTTCAGCTAACTTTTTTGCGATTCTTGACCACATTTGGTGAAATAAGTTCGAATTTTTGACTGAAGTTTTTCGACTATTATATTCTTTACTGAATAAAGCCAAAACTGTTAAATAGGTCTTATATCGGGCAAATTGGGGAACGTTATTCACCACTCCCATGTTAATTGCATTTGATCCGTTTACGGGAGGGCATTTTTGCTTAGATCTAATTTCTACTTTTGCTTGAATGGTTTTCTAGAAAGTAGGAGAGTTGTACTTTGTAGAAATAAAGTCATTTCGATAATTTGGGCAGTAAGTCGGGTGGTGGATGACGCCCAATTTTAATGACTACAGGTCGCGTCTTTTTTCCTCCAGCTTGTTTAACAAATTAATTTTGACTGTATTGACTGTATTGACAAGCTTATAAAGCTTGTAGGAATTGCTGCCCAGCTTCTAAGGTTTAAAATAATGTATAGTGTTAGATTGCAACTTAAGGTACTTAACCGAATTTCACTCCGAAATTGCAGATTTCTATTTCTATGAGTTTTGCAACTTTGGCGACTGCCACACGAATGGGAGGGTCGGATATTTTTTTTGTGATTAGCAGTTTTTTCTAGCTCATATCTCAGTAGTATATGACAAATTTTTGATTTTTGAATTAGTTGAGTTTTAGGTTGGCTATAGCTCAATTTCTTGGAGCGCGCAACCACTTTTTCTTGGTAGTGGCGGACAGCTTTTGCGAATTGCTCCATGGTTTTTGACCTCATTTTGGAACGATATGAGATATCGACTTCCGGTTTTCGAATTTTAGTCGAGGAATGTATGTGCTACACGACCTCGGTCATTTCGAATTTGGGGCAAACTGATATGCCTTAGATATATGCCCATGAAAAAATTCCGGAAACTTCTTAAGCACCCCATAGGCATCAAGAGCCTGCAAATGGGGACATGAAGATATAAATAAAGACGGAAATAATTGTTACAGGTAGGAAAAGGTTAACGTGATGAAAATCGTTACCCTATTAGCTTGGATGTTAATAATCCTATATGATGATCCCACTTCGATAGGTGGTAGAGTGGTTGGTGGTCTGGTTGTGGTGGTTGTTGGCCTCGTTGTCGTGGGGGTTGTGGTAGTAGTTGGTCTAGTTGTAGTTGGTGTGGTTGTTGTTGGGGTGGTAGTAGTTGGTGTCGATGTGGTTGGTGTCGTTGTAGTTGGTGAAGTAGTAGTTGGTGTCGTTGTAGTTGGCGTAGTAGTAGTTGGTGTCGTTGTGGTTGATGTGGTTGTTGTTGGTGTGGTTGTAGTTGGTGTGGTAGTAGTTGGTCTAGTGGTAGTTGGTGCGGTGGTAGTTGGTGTGGTTGTAGTTGGTGTGGTTGTAGTTGGCGTAGTAGTAGTTGGTGTCGTTGTGGTTGGTGTGGTTGTAGTTGGTGTGGTTGTAGTTACTGTGGTAGTTGTAGTAGGATCGCTAAAACAAAGATTTAATAACTCCAACATTTTATCAGCAAACGAATTGCGAAAAGCGGCCGTCAAAAATTAATGCTTTTGGATTTGGAACTCTGCCTCGTTATTTGAACACGCTTCTAAATATTACTACTTTTTGACGCTTCATAAATAAAGAAGACGCTTAAACATATTCGAGTGAAATCCAAGTCGCATAAAAATTCTTCACGTCCTATTTACTAATGCTTCCGCCGCGTTCAAAAATCATCACAATCTAAATAACATGTTTGGTATCGTCACGATCCAAATATGCGCTGAATAAATATGGCTCGGTTTACCTGGACGATGCTTCCGTCGTCGTGACAATGACGCACGGAGTTACCCCTTCGTGATTGCAAACCAATAAATTCTGATCCCACACCGTTCCAGGCGGGCAGCATTGCACAATCGCGTCGCCGTTCCCGCACTCGATAAATTTCCTACAGTCGTACGGATACGGGAAATAAGTCGGCACGTTCTCCCAAGGCGGACACCCATCGTACTGAGAAATGAATCCTCAAGGTAAGATTAAAATTGTTAAAATTGTGTACGATTATTAAATAATTACCCCCGGTAATAGAATAGATTCGCATGTTGTTCCGGTAGTTTGCGGATTTATTTTGCCCACGTGGACCAAAATACACAGCAAGGAGAGATTTGAGACGTAAATCTTCATGGTTTTGCCCCACATTCTGCTTGACGGGTGCTGTTCTTTGTAAGTATGTCCTTAGATACTCTGGACTAGTACATAACTCCGCTGCAGATTATTCGCTTTTATACCCCCCATATTCCCAATCTTGCCAGAAAATATCAATCAACTGGAATTCGGTCAAGATAAACTTGGAATATGCCAATCATACAGTGATGATAAATATGTTCCAATTGAGGCTAATTTGATTTACTGAGTAATCAAACTCACGTAAATAGCGATACTAACTAATGCACTCTAAATAGTGGGAGACAAAGCGTCACCCACGGTTTTACATATTTATTGTGGAATGCTCTATTTATTGATACATAATGATCGACAAGAGGTTTTGTAAAGGTCATTCCTGTTCACTTTCATTCATCTGACTAATTGTGATAGAATGGTACTTAATAAGGATTTATTTCCTACCATTTGAATGAAAATGAATGAAGGATTCCATAATGTCGGATGAACGACTGTGAAAAAAGGATTTCTCACTCCTTCAATTTGTCACCCGATGCTCAATAAGTACATGATGCGAGTAAGAAATGAAGTCAGACGAAGGAAATGAATTTAAAGAAGATTAGACACTTTGAATGTAAAATCCTCACCAGAAATAGGGGTGATGGAACTTTGAATGAAAAAAAGCCTTCTTGAACAGGTATTGTCGAATAGTTTTAATATTCAAGCACAACCCACAAGTGAAGTCGTTGTTTAAAAAATTGTGAATTTTTCCCTACACAACGTAGGATTTATGCGAAAATTTTGAGTTTTTAGAATAAAGGATAAACATGTGTTTACTACACGTGTTTCCGACTTAAATATTTTCCGCTTGTGACCAAACATCGGTTGATTATTAGCTAAAAATCAAGGATTACCTTCGCAGGTGAAGATTTGTCCCAGGGTTATTTAGAGTGTACATTTTTAAATTAGGAGAACCAACTTTTGAACGAATTTGAAGAAATTATCAATTCATTCTGATAAATGAGGGCAATCTTGACACTCAATTATTATTTATATGCGCAAGTTGATCAATCAATCATGCATAAATACAGGTGACGTGATCTTTGGTTAAGTGCAAGTTCCATGCTGAAAATAATAAACTGGATGGCAAGTACATATGGATTGATTAAATATTTATTACTACATTGTCATGTTACATATGAGTCACGAATGTATGTAGATTGAGCCAGTTATGTGGACTATGTGGTAATCAATCAATTGCATACTTATCAATGTCACGATCACGTTATCAAGACCAGAATTCAGTTAATTTTGGGATGTTATACATATAACACTTTAGTATAAACAGATATGATAGTCATCGTCATCGTCATGCTTGCTGTATGAAAATATATAAAAATTTGTGGGAAAAAATACATTTAAAAAAGATGAATCGAATCCAGATAAACAGGAAACAAGCGATTGATCTTTTAGCCGCAGATGAGGAGAAATAAAAGTTCAGAAATACAGATTCTGCACAAAATTACGATTTATGCGAGTTAGTAGTTTAAAAAATATGAAATATTTACAAAATAACGCTAAATGGACTTGCATTACGAGTAATCCTTGCGGCATATACATAATTATTTATGTGCTATTTATAAAATATGCATGCATGCATTTAAGAGATTAATTATAAATGTAATTGATAAATAAGTAGATACGAAAATTTTCATCCAAATAGTCTGATTATGTTAGAACGTAACTTGAACCCACGTTCCCCTGAGCCAGCAATGTTTCCAGTTTGGGGAATGAGGGACGCTCCCCTGGATTTGCATTCCAACAGGGTAACATCACCTCTGCAAATTGGCAAAAATAAATGTACATAAATGTACATAAATGTACATAAATGTAGAAAACTTCGTGTTATATCATTTGATTGATCGACGTTGGAGGACATATTTTTTAAATTGAGTTTATTGACAAGCTTTCGGCACAAACAGATACCTTCATCAGGTCATAAATTGGGGTCAAAACATAAATGGCGAAGTACATACATATTTGTTTTTTGGGATTAATGAAGTGCAGTTTTGGTGATTATGGCGATTGATAATTTAAAAAAGTGACGAGTGCTGAGCACCATATAGGGTTGATATGCATTCCTTGAGAGTTATTCATTTTTTCTTCTGTGCTGCGCGCGCAGTATGCGTGCGTACCCCGGTACGCATACGCATACGCATATGCATACGCAGCTGCGTATGCATAATGCTTCCTTAAACTTCTGGAAATAGCGTCTTTTCTCCTTCATAATTAATTTGACAGAAGTTGTGTCTACTTGATGATCATTTTCTGCCATGTGTAATGCTACAGGAGAATTTGTTACTGCTCTGCGTATGTCGGATTGATGTTTTGCAAATCTCTTCTCATGCTAATCTCTTTGAGTTTCTCCAAAATATTTAGATGAGCAGTTTTTACACGTGAAATTGTAGACTCCTGCTTTGGTGTTGGGAGGTTTTTCTTTTGTGTTACATATAAGAGAGCTTAGTTTAGTCCCAGGGTAATATCCAAGTTCTATCTCCAATTTTCTCCTCAAGAATTTAGCTAATTTCGTAGTTACATCTCCAGCATAGGGTAAAATGATTCTTTTTTCAAACTCCGGATCTTTTTTGGAAAATTTAGTTCTGCTTTTCTTTTTACTATATCCAATCTATTCTTAATTAACTTGTTTGGATAATCGTTTTTTCTTAAAATGTCCATTGTTAATTCCAATTCTTCTTCGATGTGGGTTTCGTCTGACAGTCGAAAAGCTCTTGTAAGTAATGTATCCACTACGCCAATTTTATGAGCCAATGGATGGTGTGAATTGTAGTGCAGGTTAACTTCGTGTGACTTCCTCCTCTTAAGGACACACATTTATGAAGTATTTTATTTAAATTTGAGGACGAAATATGTACACATATTTGTGTAGCCGAGCAATTTCCGTTGCAGACGAAATACACAAATGTGTATACTGCAAAACTTACCCTGACACCTAAATGTCTCAAAAATTAGAACATTTCTTCAGTATTTTGTGGAAAACTCGATGGTGAAAAGAGGACTTTTTTGATATGTTTTTTCCTAAAATTTTGGAATTTTTTCTATACCGACCAATGTTAAAAAGTGGATTTTCCTTGTTTTTCGTAAAAAAACTCAAAACTAGGAAACCGGTTGAAATAAATATTCCGTCTTTTATAGAAAATCATGAAAACCTTAATTGGTTGCTATCAGGTGTAATTATGAAATAGACGCAATACCCACGCGAAATTTTGTTAAAAAATCAATAGTATGAAAAAGTTTAAGCCAATAAAAGATAAAACATACGCCCAAAATTGTCTAGTTACAACTGCATAACAAAGGATTAGGATATGTATAAATATGTATGAGTCTACCGACATGGAATAAATTTGTCACCAACTGATTAAAATTTTGTTACGAGTGGTGGTGATTATAACAGAATTATTTTAGGCTTCGTAAACCAGCCATAGTTGTCCAAAAATTTAAGCTGTAGTTCACCCAAATTTAACACAGTCATAGATTTGGATATTACATTGTATGATATGGACTGGTCGGTGAAGTTAAGCGTCATGGTTCCTCCTTTTGGTTCAACCAGTTAACAGTCAATTTTGCATATGTAAAAATCATCAAATTTGGCAAATTGGATAAGCTTTCTAAAACCGAAAACAGAATTTGATTATCTCTTTTCGTTAGAAAATCACAGCACCAAATGTAGAGGAAGTGGACAAACTAGTTTGCCACTCGATCGAAAAAGTGATTTTCTCGGATCGGGAAAAGGCTCGTGACCACCCCATTTTTCAAGGGATGCACCGGACAAAATTCCTCATACACTATACAGATATAAGGATCGTGAAAATGCAAAATATAAAATTTAACCTTGCTAACCTGTCCGCCAGAAGTCAAAACACTGACGAGAAACATGAAAAAACTCTTACAGAAAACCCGAATAGATCGGTAAGGGTTGCACCCAGACAACTAAAAATTTCAAAAACCTACCTTTGCAAAATCAAAGCCAATAAGTTGGGCTTCAAAACTCACAATATTATAACCGCGCTAAAATACAATCAAGATAAAAAATCAGGGACTAAAACAATTTGTGTAAAACTTGTTGAGAAAATGTTAAAATTTACTCCCAGAAGTTTGTCATCATGGATGATGAAAACTACTGTCCCGTTGACCTCGAAGCATCAATCGTGTAAAGTTCTACTCATGCAGAAGTAAAAATGACGTAAAAATGAGGAAAATTTCCAATGAAATACATAAAATGGCTGGCGAGCGACAAAAATGGGAGTGTCTCAAATCCATTCGTTTCCACGAAGAATATGAACTTTGGAATTTATTTCAAAGAATGTATCATCAAAAGATTGACCCCCTCTATCAGAAACAAACGCGTTCTATTCTGGTCTAACATGGGCAAGTGCTAGAATGCCAAAATAGTGTAAGGGTACCATCGAAGGGAAAAAACTGATTTCGTCAAGAAAAAGGACAACGTTCCAAACTTACCTCAGTGTCGACCGATTGAAAGATTTTGGGCATTAATTGATAAACAATATACTCTGAAAAAAAGGACACAAAGAAATTTCGAAAAATTTCGGCGTGTTATAGAGAAAATCATCATAGAAGTTGGTGAAACGAGTGGCAAAGCGCTCATGAGAGGTCCTCGACAAAGTCTTCTCTCCACCGGTACGGAAGAGGTATTTGGACAAATGAAGGATTACTAAACTTTGGTATATTCATCGTTAATATACCACAAAAGTTTCGTTGGATTTTATCCATGCGTTCAGTTTTTGTAGGTTAAAATAGTTTGACACTTAACTTCACGGACCAGTCCATATTGTGAAAAACTCATAATTTTTGCCGAATTTGGGCGGGCTTTAGGGCCGCCAAATCCGGATACTACGATTTCGAAAATTCCGGATTTTTCGGATTTCGAATTATCTGAAATCCGGATTTCATTTTGGAATGAATCCGGATTTCCTTAATTTATAAATTAATTTTCATGTGCACTGCTAAGATACAAATTATTGGAAAAAGTGTACATTAAAAAAAATTGTTCATGTCAGATATTCCTGTAGTTACTTTAAAATACTCGACATCAAAGACACCTTTTTTGAAATTTCACATTTTTTAGTACATCAACTTAAAAATATACTAAGAAAATATCTACATACATCCTATAAAAATTTTAAACCATGATACATACATTAATACATTAATACATGATACATACATTAATATGCACAAGGTGGCTTAAATGTCTCGTTACATGGAAAATATTTTCAATGGGAACGTATGTACATACTTACATTTCTATTAGTTCCCGAAATTTTGTCTCTAAAATTTAACAATTTAAAAATTTTGTCATTAGTTTTTAGAAAACAGGTAATTTATGAAATCATAAATTCTCGTAAATAAGTAATTGTGATTTAGGGGCCACATAATTCACTGTAGCGAGACATTTACACCACGCTGTACATGCCTACCCCTTTCTCCGAAGGTGAACAATTCCCAGAGAAGAACGCCGAACGACCATACATCGGGTTTTGCGAAGAATTTTAGATCTTGCAGAACTTCAAGGGCCATATACCTCCAGGGGAATACCTGGAAAAATATGTAACTACATGTCATAATTATTTAGTGTGACGAGTAAAATCCCAGAGTTTGATGCAGTTTTTCAGCACTTCTGGCACCGCAAGGAAAGAAGTTGCAAGATGTGTGCAAGAAATGCGGCGAACGTTTTATGTTTAAAATGTATATTTTACTGGGATTGTCCTCGAGCTGCAGCCAGGGTAAGGCAAACCCCGGGGTTTTGCTATTGAAAACCCATACCCAGGGGTTTTACCTGGGCTTTGCGGGTAGTCGGGGTGGTCAAGGTTTTTGGGGCAAACACAAACTGAGGTAGGGTCTCTGGTATTTGGTTTTGCAAGAAATCTGCTTTTTCAGTAATTTCTCATCAAAGCCGATTATTCATATAATTTTCATAACGTATTAACTTTAGAATTGTTAGTAATGCCCGGTTATAATACTTTATTAATTTTGAAACCCGGACTACCTGTGTGTCATTTGCTATCCCGAAACCCACTAAAACCCTCAAAACCCCAAAAACCCAGCGTAGCCTACCCTGGCCACAGCTCATGTCTGGCATTCTTTGTAGAAATTATACAAAAAAATCTTCAAATTTGTTACGAAGTGTGTGTAAGGGAAGCGCTGTGCAATCCATATTTCAGAAAACCTTTTAAAGTCAACTACATAGTCCAGATTTAGCTGTAAGTCGTTATTATAACCCTAGGTTTAAGTTCATGGTTCCCCTACCGATTGGCCTGGAAGAGCGTATTCCTGGTACTGATATAATTTGGGAGACATTCCAAAATCGGCCAGTTTTGCGTTTTGGTGTCCGTCCAAGAGCACATTTCGGGCTGCGAGATCGCCATGGATAATCTACATAAATACTCAAAAATTTAGAACTCGAACTGGGATACGAGTTTGGTTTGATTTTTTAAAAGGGACACTATTTTTACATGCACAGCTCATGATGGGCAGGTTCACCTCTTAAAAATCAAACTATGATTATGTTTTTCGTTGGAAAATATGTACTACGTACATTTCTCGATTCCAAGTATTTCATCGCATTCACAATTTGGATACTCCACTTGTCCAGGGTTTTGAACATTTGGGGCTTCACATTCGACGGGAAGCTGTCCTGGTAGCGGATTTCGTCTAAATAATGTGTCACCATTCCCCCAGCACAATATTGCAGGACGATTCCAACGTGATGCGTAAAGTTGGAAAAGTGCCAGGCATTCCCGTGAAACCCGACGAGATTCGGGTTCCCATGGGAGGAAAGGAGGCTTAATATTTGCAACTCTTTTTCCAAAGCCGTGGCGTCTTTGAGCATCGACTTGAAACCTTTGAACCAATTCGAGCTCATCCTCAGTTGGTACTTCGTCAAGCATTATAACGCAACTTTATTTCAGAGGTTGTCAAACGGCTGAAGCATTTTTCGCTTAACTGAAGCAAATATTGGACTCAATGTTGCTTATTTTTTAAACCTTAGTTACATACCTTTATTATCATACATATTCAATTTTTGTTATGCCACTCTATCATAAGTCATTGTTCAAGACTGTTGCTAAATGTTTACCCAAGACCACAACATTTTCACCGCGGAAATCCGTTATTCATAAAAACATGTTTTAGAAATGATCCCGACAGTTTTGGCGTCCTTTGTCTATCTGGGTCGCTAAAATTTACGGCTACTACGCCAAAGTTTATTGTATACCCGTCGCCCTGAAAAACAAGAGCCTGATTTAATAATTTTTGAAATCATGCGGGAATGCAGATGAAACCACAAATAATTTAATTTTAGAATTTTGTATCCCAGGCAGCGTGTCAATTTGCATAACGCACTTGCATACGAAATTATCCCTTTCTATGTTGAACTTAACAAAATTTATCATTCAGGAACAATTTACTACCAATCCGGTAGGAAATGATTCCCAAATCAGCACGGAGTATCTAGATATGTGCCTCTACCAGGTTTTTGATATCCACACATTTAAGGCTATCAAAGAGGATTCTGTCGTGAATTATTAACTTTGATTGATAAAAGTTTTTGACTACGCGACAGGGAAGTGCATCTTTTTTAAGTTAGAGATGATGTAAACATACCCATTCGAAAGAGTCGAGTAGCGTCCATGCCGCGTACATTTGCACGTTAACGCCATCAATTCGCACCACTTTTAGCATCTCGTTGATATAAGACCGATGATATTCCACTCTATCATGATCCTCTAGGCCATCCTCCGGGTGAGCTTGATATCCATTTTCCAAAACGTATATTGGTGGATTCCCATACCGCTTTTTTATCCAGTTCAACATCTTTCTAAAACCCCACGGAACAACGTAGAAGCCCCAATTGGATGAAGTATTTCCACCACCCGGCCATCCTGGATCGCTGGATAGTTTAATACCAAGGGGATCAGATATTCCGCCAGAATCGTGACTTGGGTTTGTTGGTTCAACCAGGTTTGTCGTGTAGTGCGCAATACCACAAAAATCCCATGAGCCTGAAATTTTGAATTAAGTAAAATAGTGTAGGAAGGGTTAATTGATTATTTCAAACAAGGGTGAATCTAGGCTTAGGGTTACAAAGCCTGGATCCATGCAGGATTATGAAAGTAGGTAACCGAAACTTAAATGTAATACATTAAATTGTGTAAGGTACCTCGCAACTCGGCAGCTTCTGACAAACTGAACTGCAACGGTGTCGACAAGGTGCCCTGCTTCTGGCTCAGTAGTCGCAGAAATGTTTCATACTCATCGGGATACTTTCCAAAAAAGATTGGAGATGCTAAAAGTCCCCACTGAACAATGCAATGAATTTATTTAACCAATTACCTAAACAGTAAATATACATAATTCGAAACTAAATAATTTACCACAATATGCACGGCAAATTCGGCCAACTTGACGTGCGAAGGGTTTCCGGGATCCTTTGGTTCGTACCATTGGGTGAAAATGACCACTCCAACCTTTCCATGTTGGTGGGGTCGAAATACGCGGTCGTACAAACGGTACGACTTTGCGTGAGATTTTAACACGTTGTGGACGCATCTTTTGCCATCCTCGATACCTCTACGTCCTGGGGCTAAGGTCTGAATAAAGTAAAATAATTCAGTTATGCTTCTGGCCCTGTCTATGTACCCCAATTCCATTTCTTTACCTTCCATTTTTTTAAATGGCATTCATTGTGATATACTTAAATGCAAGTTTCCGTACTCTGGTGTAAATTTATATGAAATTTTTTAAAATGCTACTTCATTTGCCATTTTTTTCAATAAATTTCTAAAAGAATTAATTTGCCAATTTTCTAGTTGATTGTCTTGTAGTAAGTAGCTAAATTTAGATTTTTCCGTTTTGCGAAAAACGACATCGACAAAATATGTAGGTTTCCATTTGATGTATATTTAGAATTACTTATGTAAAGTAAACTAGATTCAACTTCTCGTAATTGTATTATTTGGATGTATAAGTGTTTGGTTGCATGATTGTACCTTTTGGTTGGATAAAAAAATGTGCAATTTTTTATCCAACCAAAATCAATTAGTGCATATTGATTGGCAATTTAATCATTGAGAAAATGACTCCTTTTGGTTGCAATAAAACATGATCTCGTTGGGTACTAAACATAAAAGTAAACGAAAATCTAATACCCCTTTAAGATAGCCCCAGAAGCACAGAGCGTTTGGTTCATTGAACGTGACCCATTTCGTTACCCGATCCCCAAACGTGCGAAATGCGAGATGTGCAAAATTTACAAAGTGCGAGATCACTTCATCATTCGTCCAACCACCAATGTCCATCAGTGGTTGCGGGAAGTCCCTGTGGTAAAAAAATTAGCCACCAGAATTTTAGATTTGAATGAAATTTATTCTAATTACACATTTTGGAATTTGAACTAACCATTTATGTAGGGTAGCGATTGGTTCGATATTATTGGCAATGAGGAGATCAATTAAATCGTTGTAATGTTGGACTCGCGCCCAATTTATGTAATCCACCCGTCCCGTGGGGAGGATTCTGCTCCACGATAAACTGAACCGATACACTCCCGCCTAAAATGATTAAAGAGGTAGTCAGTAAACCACTATTAAAATATTTTTGTACCAAATAGAATATGTATGTAAATATGCTTAAACTACTGGAAGGGTGTGATAAGAATCGCTCGTTTACCAAATTAGAGTTTTGCACATTACACCGTCGTTGCACCGTCGTCGAGAAATTTTCATTATTTAATTCTTACATTAAATAATGAAAATTTCTCGTGGTACGTTTCGAAAAAAAATTTGAGCATTATTAATATTTATGTAGCACTTGAGAAATTGAAATTGGATTGAAAACCAGATAAGTTAATCTTTTTAATTTTCAGTGTGCTGATAAACAAACCGTTTCCACAAACCCCGAAATATTTTAGTATAGCGACGTCCTCGCGATACTTGTGGTACGAGTCGCAAGCAATGTCTCCCGTCGAGTGCTCAGCAATTGGAGATGGCGTCCGATGAACAAATTCGTCCCAAATACTTAATCCTTTCCCTGTTAATTTTGATTAAGGAGTTAATCGACTAATCAAAACTTCGGATTAGATTAATCAACTAACTTATTTACCATCCTCTAACCATGCTCCCTCCGTCTGAAAGTGACTCAAATATTATTCGGCGTATTTACATCCCAAGTAGAGAAACTCCTGAGGTGTTCATTTTGTTACCAGTTATAACTCTGAATTCGACGGACACCTAAGAAGTTTCCCTAGTAAGTAACTTTTCGTTTGGCCAAGGCTTAGAAACAGGCTTTAGTTTGGTCAATTTGGGCAGTTGCTGCGGAAGCGCGAGGACATTCAAATTATAAAAGAGGGGTTTGTCCAATACGGGGGGATAATTTGGACAAGAAATACAGTATGCACATTATCCCTCTGCCCGCACGGCCACTGACTATTGGAGCAACAGTCTAGCAAATAATTTAACGCACCCTCTCACCTGATAACTTCCAGAGGAAAATCCCCACTGAAATTGTGGAGGGAATACGTCAAATAAAAATTTGTCATCGTCAACTTCACTCGAATCTGAGATCAACACAAGAGCTATAAACACTTTACTAATGAGGGCAGTACTTCGCGACATCATCGTTCCATCGTAGCAGGTTTGTGAATATGTGTATGTTTGGCAAGTGCATACATACGTCAACAGATGCGGCAGACACAAATTAGTTTTATGCATGGACAAATCTTCGCCCATTGTCCAACCGATAACAAAAGGTTGAGTTTTGTGTAATGAAACATATTTTTAGGCTGATGACACTTTTCTAATAAAATTGGGCCGTATTGAATATGTAAAAGAAGTTTTGCTGGAATGGCTTATTTTTGACTTGCAGATGTTCCCTGGTTCATTGACAGTTTTATCGCTAGAACACACCTGAGGTACAGGTCGACGTCGTTGTCAGTGGAAAAATTTATCCACTTGATGTAGATATACGGTTAAATAAGTGTTACCTTTTGGTAAAACAGGCACCTTTTTGCTCGACCTTGAGTAAATTTTACTCATTTTTATTTAGAGTGTGGTAATATGTTTTTACACAAGTGGCCAATTTTCCTTCGAGTAGGTGATAAGCATGGAAACTAAAATTAGCAACTAAAATTCCAAAATATTTCGTACAATAATCCTTTATTTCTTGCCACTTTGAATTAACATTTTCTAAATTCCCACCGCTGTGAGAGATCTGACGGCTGCAAAGGTGCCAAGTCCACATCTATTCCACCGCCAATATTGTTTACCCTGTACATCAATATTAAAACAAGATTTTAGTAAAGAAATGAGCGAATTATGTAAATATATACGTACAAAATTACCCTGTATTACGAAGGCTGCTCCGTCCAGTAGAATTGTAGCGTCGGGAATATATATTCCAATAATTTGTGCCATCGACTCGAACTAAGTGCCAGTAACCATCCGCAGTGGGTGGTTGTGCATGCTGTTTAATGAAGAACAAAATAAACCCTACTAAAGTTCATACCTGTGCAAGTGAATTTGCCTTCACTCAACTTCACTCTTTTTCACCTCGAGCCAAGTTGGCCTTCACTCCCCTCACTGGCGTGAAGGAAGGCTGAGTGAGCTTCACTCATTGACAAATCCCATTCTCATTCCTTCATTCCCTTCACTCCTTCGTTCCTCTCACTCAGCTCTTTTCCTCACTCTTTCTTTCATTCAATTAAATGCCTCGTGTCGTCATAATTTAAATATTTTGGCGGCATCTAGTGGGGCAATGTGAGACTAGGCTGGGGCAATGTGACACTAGGCTGGGGCAATGTGACACTAGGCTGGGGCAATGTGACACTGGACTGGGCAATGTGAGACTGGGCTTGGGCAATGTGAGACTGGGCTTGGGCAATGTGAAACTGAGCTGGGGTACTTTGAGACTTGGTTTGTGTAATGTAACACGAGGCTGGGGCAACGCGAGAATTTCTTGGGGCGAAACGAGACTCACTATTTTCATATGGCAACGGTAATTTCAGTATGCAAACGAATTATCTACCCTATATTCCCTCGCCCTTCTTCCCTGGAGACGAAGGAGTGAAAAAGATGAAGCCTTCATCTCCTTCACTTCTTCACCTTTCATTCCAGTCATTTCTCGTCTTGGCCTCCCTCACTCGCCTTCACTCACTCGATCAAATTTTTCAACTCCCTCACTCAGCTTCACTCGCCTACACTCCCTCATCGGGAATGAAGCCTCAATTTCCCTAAATTTAGTGAAGGTGCACAGGAATGGTAACGTTAGAAGTAACTCACCCTGTAGTAATGATTGGATACTTTTCCCTTCCTTGTGAGGGGCAACAAACTATTCAGGAAGGAATATCTTTTCCAAAAATCTAATCTACAGTTTTGTTAAGTTAAGAATATATAATTTTTTCAAGTAACAACATTCAAATTTCATTGAATATTAACGCTGAAAAGTTCATTTTAAGTTCTCCATTAGGAAACATGACACATGGGGCGGAATGAGACGGGCGGGAATGACGCATAGAGGCTTGCCTTGACATGAGTAAGATAGAAAAGGGCTTGGTGAGTAGACTAAAAATCGTCCTTTTTATGTAATTGGCAAGCGGTCCCTAAGATTTTCGAACATATTCCAATTGCAACGCAGTCGGATAAGGAGCCAATGAACAATGGGGTTTCACAACGAATGCTCTCCAATTTTGTTTTAGGTGGTAAAGGGAATTGATCAAAAATTGAATGTGTATCAATTTTACAAACGACGCGATCTCACATTAATCGGCAAAGTTATTTGCATCAAAAGATGTGAAAACTCACGGTGTGTAACCTTTAAGGAGCGGGTTCTCTTTTGATAAAAATAACTTTGACACACGTGACTATCCGATAGTATACGCTGAGAGACATCCGTTGTGTAGATTTTAATTTCAGATAGTAGCACGCAATTTAATACTTTTTTGATTTCTTCACATACTTTTTAAAAAATCTAGTCGAATGGCACATTTCGTACGTACCCAAATGTGGGGGGCTCTTCCGTCAGTGTGCACTGCATACTGCCACCGGTTCGACTCACCCAGGCCCGATCGAATTACGTAGGTTGAAGTCGAACCAAAAGTTAAGAAGAGTAAAATTTTAGGGGGTAAAACCAGAGCAATTTTTGCATCATTAAGTACTTGTGAAGTCCAGCCTCCATACTTGCGAGTTCCTGGTGCAACCGCTGCTTACGGTAAACATATCGATTTTATTCCCGTTTTCAAGCTGTGAGAAGTAGACATCCAGAGCCTGTAAATGGGGACATGAAAATATAAATAAAGACGGAAATAATGGTTAAAGATAGGAAAAGGTTAACGTGATTACCCTATTAGCTTGGACGTTAATAATCTTATATGATGATCCTACTTCGATGGGTGGTGGAGTGGTTGGTGGTCGGGTTGTGGTGGTAGTTGGTCTAGTTGTAGTTGGTGTGGTTGTTGTTGGTTTAGTTGTAGTTGGTGTGGTTGTTGTTGGTCTAGTTGTAGTTGGTGTGGTTGTAGTTGGTGTGGTTGTTGTTGGTCTAGTTGTAGTTGGTGTGGTTGTTGTAGGTGTGGTAGTTGTTGGTGTGGTTGTGGTTGGTGTGGTTGTTGTCGGTGTGGTTGTTGTCGGTGTGGTAGTAGTTGGTGTGGTAGTAGTTGGTGTGGTTGTAGTTGGTGTGGTTGTAGTTGGTGTGGTTGTAGTTGGTGTGGTTGTAGTTGGTGTGGTTGTAGTTGGGGTGGTTGTTGTTGGTGTGGTTGTAGTTGGTGTGGTAGTTGTTGGTGTGGTTGTAGTTGGGGTGGTTGTAGTTGGTGTGGTTGTAGTTGGTGGTGTGGTCGTTGTAGTAGGATCGCTAAAACACAGATTTAAAAACTCACGCTTAAATCGAACGTTGTCCTATTTAGTTTATGATTTCGCCGTTTGTAGCCTCCATAGTCGGAATCGTCACAATTTAATATATATGCATAGTATCAATCTAGCACGATTTACTTACCTGGACGATACTTCCGTGGTAGTGACAATGACGCAAGGAGTTACCCCTTCGTGATTGCAGACCAATAAATTCTGATCCCACACCGTTCTTGGCGGACAGCATTGCACAATTGCGTCCCCGTTGCCACACTCGATAAATTTCCGGCAGTCGTACGGATACGGAAAATAAGTTGGAACGTTTTCCCACGGTGGACATCCATCGTACTTGCAAATAAATCCAAAAAGTAAATATTAATCATTTATTGAATTATATTTTTACTTTAATAAAATAGCTACTTCGGGTAATAAAATGGAGTCGCAAGGTGTTTCGGTAGTTTGCGAATTTATTTTTCCCACGCAGAGTAAAATACAGAGCAAGGAAAAATTTGAATTGCAAATTTCCATAGTTTTGCCCGACTTATTGCGCTGTTGTTTGTTAGTAAGTACATACATCGTTGTAATGATTGTGCTTCAGGTAACTCGCTTTTATACCCCGCATGTTTCCAATCTTCCTGGTAAAATATTGGTCAACTATATTCCAGTTAACAAGGGAACCTTAAGTACTGTCACCTCTCGATTTCCTTCCAAATAGCCTTAATCGACAGATAATTTAGTGAAACTAAAACTTTGTTATAGAACATGCGGTGCAAGATCGCGTTTTCGCGAAATATTTGGCGATAGCTGCACCAAAACCTGCATTTTCTCAATGCTGTTAACATGGCCCCCAGCCTTTCGAATGATGAAATGAACTTTATAGAATATTGAAAAACTATTTATGTACCCGTCCGCGTAATTTCAGCCCGATCACGAATATTCAAAAAATGATGCAAAGATTCGCAAATTTTTTGCAAATTGCGAAAGTTTAAAAACTTTCGCAAATTTTTAATTTCTTCGTTTCTTTAAATTCAACGAATTTATCAGTTTAACTGATGTAAAATATATTTTTCTTATTGCAACAAATTTGCAAAAATTTGCAAAAACTGAACTTCGTAATTTTTCATGAAAATAAGTTAAATAACCAATGCTAGTCTACATTTTTCGAAATTATTTGCGATATTTATCTTTGCAAGTTGCAAAAACAGTGTGTGCAATTTTTTAATTCAATATGTAGAATTTTTTTGCAATGCTTGCATGTTTTAATTGTTCAACAAATTAGCTTTTCCATTTACTTGCATACCTATATGACAATTTTTAAGTTTCTATAAAAAGCAAAATTAAAAAATTGTAAACTTTAATTTTTGCAAATTTTGTAAATTTTTTGCAATAAGAAAAATATATTTTATATAAGTTAAACTGATAAATTCGTTGAATTTAAAGAAACGAAGAAATTCAAAATTTGCGAAAGTTTTTAAATTTTCGCAATTTGCAAAAAATTTGCGAATCTTTGCATCATTTTTTGAATATTCGTGATCGGGCTGAAATTACGCGGACAGGTACAAATGAACTTTATTAAGATTCTGTAAAGTTCATTTCATCATTCTAAAGGCTGGTGGCTATGCTAAAAGCATTGGGAAAATGACAGGTTTTGGCACAAATATTTCGCGAAAACGCGATTTTGCACCGCATGTTCTATAACAAAGTTTTAGTTTCACTAAATTATCTGTCGATTAAGGCTATTTGGAAGGAAATCGAGAGGTGACAGTACTTAAGGTTCCCTTGTAAGATGAAATTGAAATATGTCAATCATGTTGTGACGACGGGTTCTAATTGAGACTTCCGTGTTCAATTTAATGCTAATCACGCAATATCAGAAGATACACTATAAATAATTTGGAGGCAAATTGTCACCCGCGGAGGTACATATTTATCGAAGTGTTCTATTTTTGGCTAATGATGAAGGGGGGTTTGCAAAGATGACGAAATACACCTTTTCAAATGCACATAGCGAAAGTAACTTCAGTCCCATGTCTCATCACTTCATTAAAACCCTGCCGAAGACAGTGCGAGAATTCTTAATTTCAGTGATGGACACACTGACGGACAGACAGACAGACAAATGCATAGACCCACAGACCGTCGCGGACGGATCGTCAGACAGGCAAACAGACGGACGGCGTATTCACGACCAAGGAGCCGAAACTACTTAATGAGTAAGTCAAGAGCTTATCAGAAACAAGGGAAGTCATTATTTTAAAAACCCGAAAATTTTATAGATTTTTTTTAACACGAATGAGTTATTTTTCTTTGCAGAATAAATAAAGATTGCACGTATGCTTGGTGCACCAGTTCTTGAATTACATATTTTCCTTCGGTGCCAAAACGCCTCTTCAATCATAGCCAAAAATTTAGGATCATGGAAAATACCTCCACAATAGGTGCAGATTTGTCCCCAAATTGTTTAGGGTGCACATTTTTAAATTAAGGGAAATCCTTTTCAATGAATTTGAGGAAGTTATCAATTCATTCTGTTAATTGAGGGCAATCTCGACACTCATTTATTATCTAGAAACACAAATTAATCAATCATAAACACAGGTGAGGTAATCTATGGCCACATTCAAGCTCAAAGTTTAAAGGATAAATTGAATAACTAGTATTGATCGATTATTAATTTATTTATATATACATTGCCATGGTCCTGAGTCACGAATAGTGTCTGTGTGTATAAGTGGGGTAGCATACTTAACCCAAATAAATATGCAGTAATCAATCAACTGCGTACTTATCTACGTACATATTTCACGATTACGCGATCAAGACCAGAATTCAGTTAAATTTGCGATGTTATACAACTCTTCAGTATTCATAAATAGATATGATACTCATCGTCATCTTCATCGTCATGCTTGCTGTATTTACATACATATGTAAATGTATAAAAATTTAGGGAAGATAAATATACTTCCAAAATAAAAATCAAATACAAATAAACAGGAAACAAGCTTTTAGCCGCAGATATGTACATAAGTAGGAAGCAGAAATAATAAAAGTTCATAATAGAGATGCTGCACAAAATTACGATAACTCACGATTTTTGAGAATCAGTAGATTAAAAAGTATAAAATATTTATAAAATAACGCTAATTTATTACTAAATAGACTTTCCCATTGTCGGGTACGAGTAATCCTGGCAATATTTACATACGTATTTATGTGCTTTGGTGGGTAGACTGTTTATGTGCTATACGTATTAATAATATGCATGCATATGTACATTTAAGAGATTAATTATACATATAATTAATTGATAAACACGTAAGTAAATAGATAATAAAATTCTCATTCAAATAGTCCACTGCAAATAAACTGGTGTCAATTCCGCGCGGTGTAGTCACATATAGACACCACGCGGTGTTAATTGCCCGTATTAACACCGCGTGGTGTCTATATGTGACTACACCGCGCGGAATTGACACCAGTTTATTTGCAGTGTCGGATTATGTTAGAACGGAACTTGAATCCATGTTCCCCTGAGACAGCAATGTTTCCAGTTTCGCAAATGATGGACGCTCACCTGGATCTGCATTCCAACAGGGTAACATTACCTCTGCAAATTCGCAAAATACATGTAAATGTAAATTTCGTTTATGTATATTAATTAAGCCAATAAAAGATCTGCCGTATGTAGTACTACTAAATGAAGAAAACTAAACGATGGTGTCCAGACTAACGCCGTCATGGTCGTAGTTAATCACTCAAAATAGTTTAGTTACTACATACAAAGTAAGAATATGTATATGACTTTACCACAGTGTAATAAATTTGTCACCAAGTAATAAAAAGTTTGTTACGAGTGGTGGTACATGATCGTAACGGAGTTGTTTTAAGTATGGATACCTACAATGCTTCGTAAACCGGCTGTGGTTTTGCAAAAATTTAAGCTGCGATTCACCCAAATTTTACAAGATAATAGATTGGGATATTGCATTGCATGGTATTGTGAAAAACTCAAAGTTTTGGAAATGAATGAAAGAAATGGAATGAACATAATGTGCTCCACCTTCGTTATTTCTACTACACATGAATACTATATACTGTAATTGATATGTCATGGGTTGGTTAAATGTTTCGCCACAATGGAAATATTTTCAATTGGAACGTAAATTTCCATTGGTTTCCGAAATTTTGTCTATAAAATTTCACAGCTTACAAATTGTTGTCCTCGTAACTATCCGTGATTTAGGGATCCTTCCCTTTACAGCATTTTTCATTGTAGCGAGACATTTAAGCCCCCCGGTGCATTAGGGTTGCACCGAGTACTCGGCCGTTTGAGTACTCGGCCACACCGAGTACCAGTGAGTTTTTTCTAAATTCCAGTGGAACTAGTATGTTCAATTAATGTAGATTTTTTTACTTAAAAACAACTTGGATACTATTTATTTGAGTTACCTTTAAGTAAAATATCTACCTTAATTGAATATATAAGTTCCACTGGAATTTAGAAAAAACTCATTGGTCAGGCCGAGTATACTCCGTACGGCCGAGTACTTGGTGAAACTCTGGGTGACACTTAAATAACAAAAATTAATATGCATGGGAGTTTAAGAAGCACTATATAGGTATTATCAACACGGGTGCATGATGATGACCTTAAAAGTAGTAAATTAAAGTGCCATAATACTTGGCCGAGTTAGGTTATAGCCAAAACCTTAAAACTAGGCCGAGTACTCGGTGCAACCCTACTGTGCATGCGTACCATTATAAATTTGACGCGCAAACTCGGGTGCTCTGAGTACTCGTCCGTTTGTGAGCTGGGTTACAAAGTCCGCATTCCATTCCATCCCTGCCCATGGGGTTTCTCCGAAGGTGTACAATTCCCAGAGAAGCACGCCGAACGACCATACATCGGATTTTGCAGAGAATTTTAGATCCTGCAGAACTTCAAGGGCCATGTACCTCCAGGGGAACACCTGGCAGAATAAATGAATGTCATTATTATCTAGTGTAACGAGTAACATCCAAGGTCTTGATTTCTTGCAGCTTTATAGGATTTGTTGTACCACAAGGTAAGAAATTGTAAGGTAAAAGAAGTATGGGGCCATAGCGTAGTGCTGCACATATTACGAGGATTGTCCGCGAGGTGGGGCTAATTTTCTGCATTTCATGAAGAAATTATGTCTACGAGAAAACCTTTGCTAACTGTTTTTAAGACAACTTGTGCATTCCAAATTTCATAAAACCCATTTCAAGGTCAACTAATAGAGATTTACATGTATCTGTAACTCGTTAATGTAACATCGTGTTTTAGTTTATGGTTCCCCTACCGTCTGGCCTGGAAGAGCGTATTCCTGGTACTGATATAACTTGAGAGACATTCCAAAATCGGCCAGTTTTGCGTTTTGGTGTCCGTCCAAGAGCACATTTCGGGCTGCGAGATCGCCATGGATAATCTACATGCATTGACACGCAAAAATTAAGAAAGTGAATTGGAAGACGAGTATGGCTTGATTTTTTAAAGCGACCAATTTTTTACATGCACAGCTCATAGCGGACAGGTTCACGTCTTAAAAACCAAACCATTATTTAATTTTTCTTTCGGAAATACTACGTACATTTCTCGATTCCAAGTATTTCATCGCATTCACAATTTGGAGACTCCATTTATCCAGAGTTTTGAACATTTCCGGTTTCACATTCCACGGGAAGCTGTCCTGGTACCGGATTCCGTCCAAATATTGTGTAACCATTCCGCCCGCACAATATTGCAGGACGATGCCAACTTGATACGTGAAATTGGAAAAATGCCAGGCGATTCCGTGAAACCCGACGAGATTCGGGTTCCCATGGGAGGAAAGGAAGGTTAAAATTTGTAACTCCTTTTCCAAAGCGGTCGCGTCTTTGAGTACCGATTTGAAATCGGTGATGAATTTCACTGCTACGATTTCGTCCCTAGGATGGATCATCTCTGCCTTGTACACTTTTCCGAAAAAGCCTCCCCCCAAAAACGTGGCGTCAGATTGGTCTAAAAATGGAACACTCGCATTAGGGGACATACTTATTTCACTTGGAAACGCGCCGAGGTGTCAGTTAAATTAAAGGTTAACGCCTAACTGGACAATTGCATTTTTTGCACATTGAATTTCTTGCAATGTCGTTGCAATGCAATGCAAGAAATTCAACATTACGGTTAATTCAAAAAAAAGTGAATACAAAAAATTCAGGTGTTGGTTAGAAAATTTGTTTACCCACATGGGAAAAAAATCGGATTTACAAAAATAAGCCATAATTTGTGAAATTCGTCAAAATAAGGCGAATTCGAAATAAAATTAGTAATTAATGAATATAGATTTTTCCTAATTTTGAATACATGGGAATGAGTAATAAATGAATGAATGATATTTTGTCAATTTGTAAAATGAACAATTTTAGAATAAAGCAATGACTCCTTGATGAGGTTTGATTCAAGTGATTTTGATATAGGCTAATCAACCCTTAAACCTCGCCGAACACCTCAGTTTCTTCTAGTTAGCTATAAAGTTATGAAAAGTTTCCATACCACATTTCACCTTAATCACCGGTATTTTTGTCTCAGTCATAAATTTTTCAAAACTCCGGTGAAAATGGTCCATCTCCACGGATTCGCTTCTTCGTTTAAAGTAGTTTATGAAAACGAACCAAAGCCGGTAGAAGAAGATAAATACGAAAAGTTGTAGGGGAAAAGTTATCCCGAGCTTGTCCGAAAATCCGGACGGTTTTGCGAGAACGATTTGCCTGTGGTAGTCGGCAACGAATTGGATTCCTTTCCCAATCACGTCGTTCGTGTAGGTGACGAAAACCAGTCGTGCGATCGGTTTGGAACTTTTCTGTGGAGAAGAAAATCTCTAAGAACTGAATATTTTTGAGTTGCTTAAAGCAACTTGCTTTACCACCTCGACCAACTTAGAATGAAGGTTTCCTATCGTAAGCTCCCAGATTTTGATCAGACTTGTGTCAATCTATCACAAATTTATTTGATATGACAGTCTGTTTCTTGTAAGGAGAAATTTACATGCGTCCAAAAAGGAGAAAACATGCCCATAAAGTAAATAAAGTTGACTGATTTTATACTTTACGTTGTCATCCCCTTTTGGATGCATATATTTCTGGCAAACCTGCGCAAAAGGGGAGCGTGGCTTGGTCAAATGTTGTAGCATTGGTAATTGAATTCGTGATAAATTGACGCTAATTTGGCCAAAATTAGTTAACATGGTCTGAGAGACCTTCATTGTTAGCAGGCACCAGAACTACTATGACGATAGTCCCTCCCTCAACCACTTTTTCTCTATAGGGACTCTCAAAAACTGCTATGGTCATATGGTGACGAAAAAAAGGTCATGGCGATAAAAATAAATTAAAAATGTATTTCTAAGGTTACAAAATGCGTAAGTTTTGAATTGCATGTCGATCGCGCAATTTTGCGTTGTTTACATTTCCGATCAGTTTAGCAGTTCTTGAGTCTCTATAGAGAAAAAGTGGTTGAGGGAGGGACTATCGTCATAGTAATTCTGGTGCCTGATTCTTAGGATGAACGTCGAAATTTGATTGCACACTATTTGGTAATTACTAATTGATAAGCCTTGTAGAACATGCACCAAAATATCAATCGCATTAATTCACTCAAAAAAATTGGGATTGTAAATGGGAGGAATTCTGGAAAAAGAATGAAGCACTATGATAGATAAAACAATTCTCACAATTTCATATCTCACATTGAAAAAAAGATTCACGTACCATAAAATGTGCGTGTAAATTGTGCAGAAATGACAAGTGCCAGAGACATTACGGTGTAACCCTGCAACGAAGAGTATTTAGTTAATTAAGTAAATTATGGTTTGTGTGTAAGACTGGTAAACGATTAGTAAATGTTAAAACACATGGTCAAAAAACAGCAGCAAAATTCAAGATTTGCTGGAAAGGTCTCAACACTTGGGATACTCTACAGAAGAAATTACTGTAAGGAATTCTGCCGTAAGGTAAACTCGCCTTGTAAATATTCTACATATTTTCATTAAATTACATAGCATGGGTTTTATTCTTCCGCCTCTTGTATGCATTGTTTTGCACAAATCTACAAATGTATCTACCTTGAAAAATTTTGACACAGAAAATTTGCCTACGTTCCTGAACGAAGGCCGTTCAAATTTTGGTTTGCGATTTTCACAAATTTAACGCAGCAGCAGATTTGGGATTGATGAAACACAGGATTGATAAAAACTCTGCACTTTTACAGATCGTCCACCTTTCTTAACGTGGTTTGTGTAAATGTTAATTAATTTGTGCTTACAAAATGTGCCCAGAAATGTAGTCTAATTAGCTTGGTGACATGAACCCCAATCCGCCTCGAAGCTGGGGGATATCCCACATTCGTTCTTAACAAGTCTTGATAAATTCCCAGCAGGATTCCGCAATTCATGAATGTTAAGCAAAACAAGAAGTGAAAGGCGGGTATTAATCCCAACTTTGTCGGGATGTGCTTCTCCGACAAAATCGGGTAGTTTAGTAGGGCCCAAAAAATTGGTGGGATAATGAAGAAGAAAACTTGATAAAAGTAAACGAATCGTTCTGATCTCTGAAAATTAATATAATAAAATTAAAATACCCGTTTTTTTAAATTGTGGAAAGTTGCCCGGAAAAAAGTAATCTTACCCGCCATACCAGTACGGCCAAAATATTTCCGAACCCTATCACGCCCAAGGAAACAATCAAAGCATAAGTTATTCCTAAGGATTTATGTTTTAGGGGCAAAGTCTCATTTTGCACGGCACAAACGATGCTGATAGCCTGGAAATTAGGATTATTCTCTTAAAGAATATATATTTCTACTAAATACACTCTAAAAAATAAGGCTACTCTTTAGCAAAGTCACGTCAGTTTGAATTTTGTATTAAGAAAACTATGCAAAATCCCGGGTAAACTTTGGTCTTTATCAAGTCGACGATACTCTGGATTACATGCGTATGTATAATTTACTTACTATCGAATTGAAACTATCAATTCGATTTTGACTCGAAAACTATCAATTTGAAAGTACATTTAAATACTTTTCGTTAAAAAGGTAACTTTATTTTTAAGAGTGCACAAATTTCCATTAAATTAGCTACATTACTTATGCACGTAATTATGTAAATATGTAACTGGAAATCTTACTGGTAGTAGAATCATGTGAATATACAGGAGCAATTCGACCACTTTAATGTTGCTCAGCATTATGTTCACGAGTGCGAGTACATAAATTTTACGCCGATTGAACTGAGAATGAGGAAAATATTGAAGTAAAGGGTGATTTCTGGTAACGGAAATTTTAACTACAATTTACGTGCGTTTGGTATGCTAAGAAACGTAACCATAAATTTCCTGCGTGTGGACAAAGTCTGCAATTTTTGTTTCTAGGAACGTTCATACAATGTGTCATTGGTTAGGTTATGTCCAGCCTGCCTCACTCCTGCTAAGTTTAACATGAGCAGGATAAGGAGCAGGTGGTGTGGGTGATCCCAAAATTCAGCGATTTTATGATGCCGTAGTGTCTGGCCGTTCCTTTGCAAGTTTTAAAATTTCGCTGGAGTTTAAATCAATTTTTTTACAACATTTGCAGAAAACGTAATTATGCGCGTGTGGCATTTTAATTTAGCGAGAAATATGTAAATATGTGGGTTCTACTGAATTATGTACACGTGCGTATTGTATTCACATATGTACGTGATAAATACTTGCGCATTATTTTCAGTAATGTGATCCGTGCGTTTGTTAGGAAAAACTATGATGTCAATCATAGTTTTAATCGTTTTAATTGCATGCAAATTTTTAGAGGGTCATGAATCCAGCAAGGTCCGTCATCTTGGTTAAATTGTAAACGTCACCCGAGACATTCATTGCATCACGTTTTCTTTATTTACATAATTAATACTGATAAATATGTTATGTTTGTATGTAACTCATTACATAAAATTTTAAATAATGCATTAACAAATTGCAATTTATGCAGCAAAATGGTAGTAAATTATGGAACAAAATCTTCTGAAGTCATATTTATATACTTACTTTCTTATAATTTTTGTTACTGTCAACTTGAACTTGATCCTCATTTCGTAAGCTACAATAACACATTATCTATGAAAACCACTTCCGGAGTGGAGGAAAATGTGAAATAATTATGTGGAAAGTGTTAAATATTTGCATTCATATGTGTGTGGTTAGGTATGTAAATATGTGCATGTTAAGAAACCACGCTTATCACAACTACTTATGGACAATTACATAAGCTGTAAAAATATTGTTTCGATTTAAATAAATAGACTCAAATTAATCCGGGAATAAATCAATTAAATACTCTCTGAAATAATAAAATCAGTATTAAAATGTTTACCAGAGTCGGTAACGAGTAATATACATATGTATGCACGTTTGCAATGGATTCCGCTTGCTATTGTTTGATATTAAATTCGTAAGAGTTAATTTTTTGCACAAAGAATACTCAAAACGTGAGCAACAAAGTAACCGTAGTCTCAACCGCGAATTTTATTAATATCGGGGTCAACTTTCTACTCACCACGCCAAACTGGCCCACCTGAATGTTCAAAGGTCTCAAAGATTTCCAACCTTTCCGCTGCATTTTCAATAAATTTGGCGCATTTCGCATCTCTCTTAAAAACGAGGTCGAATATTCAAACATCTTCGCGGCCTGGGGAATAAAAACTACGACGAAACACGTTGCTAAAAACCCGCCAATCGGATTCAGTAAATAAGCTAGAAACATCATCTTTCCGGAGAGTCTAATACTTCCAAAATACGTCAAAATTACGACAGAAATACCGAAAAATATGGAGGGAGGGACTGCAAAAGCTGAGAAAGTGGAATTCGTGTATTTGTTCCAAACATACATTTTTCGAAAGAGATAAATTTCCTTGTTTCCGAGCAGCATGCCTTTCGTACCGGTTAAACGGCGGAGATCGTTGATTATATCGTTTATCGAACAGACGACCATTAATCTCAAGAGGAAAAATGCAGTGACGGATTTCATAACGTCCGCCGCGACGAGGCCGAACAATCCGATTCGGAATAAGGTAAGAAGAAAGGAGTAATTGTGGGGTTTTGTTGAAAATAAGACGTGGAGTGGATCGATCCCTATGTAAACGCAGATTGGGGCTGCGACCAGGCCGACAATGTAGGATTCCCAGAGCATGAGAAACATTCCCATTTCGACGATAACGTATTTGTTGGTGGGGTTTATTTTGACCAAGTCTGAAATTGATTTTTTTTTAAATAGTGGGAGATAAAATTCTGAGACAGATTTGGAATAGAGAATAGAGAAATGTCCAATTAAAAATACAAATTTTGGATTTTATATTTCGAATGGTCTACGATGTTGGGGCTACATTTTCTTCAAAATTTGTAGCAACCTCGGAATTTCTAACAGGAAATGATATACATATGTATGTAACTCCATGTATGAAAATCTGACGCAAGACTGCAGAATATACTTATCTGCCGGGTCTATTCTGCAGATCCGTATGTGCATACATTCTGCATAGTTTATGCACATATTGCTCTACAGTTTTTCGTGAGAAAGTTTGGCCAACTATGTGCAGAATATCTGGTCAAATTTCCTTCAGAAAATTTTCATACGCGAAAATTTCATAATGTTAATTTTATCCCCGATTTATTCATATTACCTTTAGTATCTTTTTCGAATTGGGTGATACAATTAAAAATGTTTGGTATAACGCTCGGTGTGAAACAGAGGATGTGATTAATCGCCAAAATTGAAGCGGGTAGAAAGGCTCCCAAGACGAGCATGTAAACCTGCATCATTTCCATGACACTAATGCAGTCCACCGTCCCCCACCTTCTCGGCTGGGTAATCATTTTACCCAATGTTCCAAAACAGTAGAACGTGTGAATCGTCAACCAGCACGTACTCGTCAGGATAAAATACTTTCTCCTCTTTGAAATTGGAGAAACTAGGGAAAGTTTCCTTTCCGAGATGGTAACCTCGTAATTCAACAGATTCAAAGTTTTGCCGAATAGAGTTACAAATAATGCTAAAAGTTTCCACATTCGGAGGGTTGCCATGGCTTCAGTTTTCAAGTTTATCGACGACTCTTGTGGCAGGTTTTGGCAGAACTAAATAATATTTATTTTAAAACTTTGATCAGCATTTTCAATTGATGATTGGAAAGATTGAAGTGAGTTGGGATTGATTTAAACATCCCAATCGGACATGGAATGAGATTGCTTTTGGCAATTTCGGATTAGATAAGTTTGAAGTAGTGCACCACATGAATTCGGGTTTATCAACTTTTTAGAGTCGGGTTCAAACAAATACAGATTCGGATGTAGTGGAGTCTTAAAATGCTGAAGTCGGTGAATCCGGGGATTCACCATTACAGTGTGAATTCCAGGCTCGAATATCAGGCCAAACAACTAGTTTAAGGTTACGAATGCGAGCTCGCGTATAGCAAGATGAAATATCCACTGGTGCGCCAATTTATATGGAAGTAATTTTGTAATTTTGATATTTTTGCGGATCAGGTTATAGAGAAAATCGAGCAGACCATATAAGCTTCCGTACCGGCTGTTTTGCTTTTGTCTATTGCAGGATATGCGCCGATTCTGCTTCTAGTTTATTGCTTAAACTAAGACGTATGTAGCATATAAATGCATAAATCTAAATACATATGTATCGATTTACTCTTAAATTTTGCAGTTATTATAAAAATGAGGATGACGGGTACGACACTCAACTGTAAATATTAAATGCATAATTTTGGAAATTCAAGCCTTAAATTTACAATATTTTACATATTTATGCCCGAGCGTATGTTGTATTGGGTGTCACTAGAAACAGTATCGGCCAACGATGCGCACTCTTATCCGCCCTTATCCATCCGTCGCTACCGCCCACGCTTATCCACCAGTGTCCACCCTTATCCACGGCTATCCATTCTTATCCATCCGTCGACGCCGCACTCTTTTATCCATCGCTATCCACTCTTATGCATCAGTCGTCACGTCATTGTCATATGCAAATCAAAGACTAACCGTCATCGACGCATGTAACGCTAAATATATACTTACTAAGAAGTAGAAAATTTATGAAATTTCTACATGAACCAAAGCAAATTAATGACAATTTCAACACTTAACAAATTTAAATACAAATACACTTGTTTATTTCAACCCAAAAGCCAAGTAATTTGATTTCTCTGGTAGATTACGTAAGAGTGATCTGCGTAATAAATCGTTTTGATCCAATTCATACAATCTAAAAATTTGATCAAGGCAAACATTGTTTGGTTTGTATGAATTACTATATCTACAAGCAAAGTACACATTATTCGAAATGTCAGGACTATATAAATTTTTCGTTAGTTCTATACTATCAAAAATGATATCATTATCAATACACATTTGTTTTAAATCAAAATACATATCATTAGGCAGCAAATTATATGGTGTAAAAAAACATATATACATATCTAATCCACCAAAGGCCTTTAATGGATCAAGCACATCCTTAGCAAACCGTTCCTGATAATCCAGTTCGAACCTCGACAACTTATCATTACCAAAGAAGGGTGATGTCGAGTTGTACTCGTAGTAATCTGGACACAAACCGATAAGGACACTGCTGATGCAGGGATGATAATTGCCATTTTCCAGTGTTTCTAGGGTCCATGTCAGCGTTGAATTCTCGGTGATTAACGGCAAAGGTGAACTTCGCATTGAATAATTCAACAATGGACAGGTAATGTCATGGCCACCGCGATAAGCTACACTCGAATTTCTTTTCATGATGATGAAGATGATGAAATTAGTTTGTGATTTTCAATATGCGAATCAGTGTGTTTCTACAAGCACAGGCAACACTATGCTCGCTCCAGACCAACTGCTTCTGCAGATTTTACATCCGTTTGCTATGTATTTGGTAGGGTGAGTAAGTGATTTTTTACATCCCTATGTATCGATACAGCTAAAATAAAAACTCCAGAGATTACATATTTGAAACTTAACTCTCCCCTGTGTTTCTATCCAAACTTACATAGACCAGCCAAGGCAGGAAAGAGCTTTTTGTGTCAGCAAATAAGTTAACGAAGGAAGGTACATACATGCGTTATTCGTTCATCTTCAAATGCATGTAATATTGTGATGATGTGATACTGTTAAATGATTGCATCAGTTTTGTCAGGAAGTAATTGCTGGTGACATAAAACACGTCACATATGTGGCCCCCCAGCAGCAACCCGAATTTATGGAATTTGAAAAAAATAATCCCGAACTGAAATTCATAAACCGGTGGGATGACAGCTACTTAAAACCAGAGAGTTTAATTATTTTTGATGATTATGGGCAAGAATTTGGGGGCCGAAAATGCGAATTTATTACAGGATTTATAACGCAAACTGTTCATCACAGCAGAATAAGCGTAATTTGCATACTGCACAGTCGCTACACAAAAGGATTAAGACTGCGAACTTGTTGGTTGAATAATTGGCAGTAAGTTGAAATCCAAAGCATTAATAAATATACGAATCTCTAATTAATTGTCCCTTTCTGCAGATATTTCACTTTCCTCGCGATCGGAGCATCATTTCAATACTAGCACGACAAATAATGCCAGGGAACAGTAGATTTCTTAAAGACATTTATGATTACTGTACAAAACAAGTTCATGGTTGTGTTTTTTTTATTTAAGTCCGCGTCAAAATCGTAATTTTTCAGTGAGGTCAAGCGTATTCAATGACGATAGCCTGTTTGTTTTCAGTCCAATTTAGTGGTCATGGAAAGATTTGAAAGCGAACGTGAATTTTTGGAAAATGTTATGAAAGCAGGTGCCAGCCAAAGAAAAAGGAATCTAGCTATTGCAACGGACAATAAAGTGCTTGTGGAAGTCTGTGTGAATGTGAACAATTTTCCATACTGGAATAACGTCGCATACAGAAGAACACTTTGCAGATTTTAAAGCAGGACATAGAAATAGAACATCTAACCGGACACTGAGCTAGGACGCTTGGTTCCGACGCCTTCTATACCACGGATAAATTTCTGGCTCGTAAAACACTCCTGTATCAAAAAATCATACAATTTATACACGAGCGAGAATGAGAATTTGATTAATGCCTTACCAGGAACATGTTCTCCAACTTCATATCTCAAATACTAGCTTGAATGGAGAGTATTTTTTACTTCGTCCATATAAACAACTTCTAATCCCCAGCGCGGAAAATATCTAAATAATAATAGTAATATTTCTGATAATCAAACGACGAGTAACAATATTTTATGCTTACCCTTCCTTGGTGGGAAGTGACTCACTTCCCATTAATCGATGTCGTGTGAGATGATGTGGGGTGCTGAGGTTGACGTAGGGAATGGTGTTCTGGTTGTTCCTGAGTCACAGTATTCGCCGGGTGGAATTATTATTTCGGTTTTCGGTGGGGCTGGAGGCAAGCCGCATGTTGAATTCTCCCCACTAATAAAGTCGTAGCATCCATCTCGGATACATACCTCACAATTCTCATTTGCTTGGGACGCGGCACATGCTGAAAAATAAATAATTATTAGTTAATTTAATTAAGCAAAGTAGAATAAAATTTTAAGAATAAGGCTCTCTGACCGTTTGCTGTAATGACGACGAGTATGAGAAACACTAACATTTGTTCTCGTAATATTTTATTTTACCCTTTGAGCACTTTGCACTTTTAATCAGTGTTACATTTGCACTTTACTTAGAGTCGTAAAAACTTATTATCAACAAACCAACTACAGCTCAGCTAAGTCTATTTTACTTTATTTAGCTGCGCACTGTTATTTTTGAAGGGTGAGCATAAACCCGGCATAAGACATTTGATATCTTTTCTTTGTTACAACTTGCTTGGTGAATAATCCGTCTTCATTTTCATGAGACATAATGAGACTGATTTTCATGCTTTTGAGTTGTGATCATAACGAGTACACGAGTTAGATGAATAAACTAATACAGCGACGACTTATGCATAAGAATGGATGGAGATGCCGAAGGATGGATAGCGATGGATAAGAGAGTGCGGCGGCGACGGATGGATAAGAATGGTTAGCGATGGATAAGGGTGGACACTGATGGATAAGCGTTGGCGGTAGCGACGGATGCATAAGGGCGGATAAGAGTGCGCATCGTTGGCCGATACTGTTTTTAGTGGCATATCCAATACAACAAGCGTAGGCAGAGAGGAAATTGAACAGTTTGGAGAAAGAAATTTGTCAAAACAAATCAACAAACTTTGGTGAAAAAATTCATCGATTCTAAATACATGCCAATGACAGAATAATAAGTAGAAGTCATTTTTATTTCAACTTATTTGTCAGGATTAATGGAAAAATTTATATATGTATGTAGGTGCCCGTAAATGTTTTTCATTATCGCCAACTGTGACAATAATTTCGGTGTACGTGATTTTATTATATTTCTTTTATCATTTTGGCGAAAATTTATTTTCGCGAAATCGACTTTCGCCACATTGTTTGTCAATTGGCAAGAATATAATAATTTTTTTGGTTTGTTATCCTTTGCCATATTCACTTTCAGGGATAATGTGCAACAGCATACATAAAATAATAAGCTTGATTTGATTATGCAAATATCGAGAAACTCGCCGGTTAATTTAATGACATCATCGAAATTTAACAAACTCACGGAAATTTTATAGGATTATCGCAATTTAATAAAGTCATATCCTACCTGAATAAGATTATCATTATTTATTCAGTTCAATTATTTTGTGTTATGCAAGGAGAGATAATCCTGTTTTTAATCCCAATATTTTTCCAAACCGTTCCACTATCGGAAATGTCCTTAACCTATGTTGAAAATGGGATTGCTATCTTTTTTTAAATGATAAATGGCCAAGATTTGAAAAAATTTAATTTTGCAGCTTTATCATAAAGTATTTGTGTATGTAGCATTTAAAAACTATACATATTTACATACCGTAGATGTTTTATTTCTGTGAAAATGTTTTTTTTAGTTTTGCTTATTAAAATGTAAGTTAATAAGGTATGTATGTACATTTTAATTTTTACAGGTAATCTCTAGGTAAACTTAGTTTTAATTTCAATCTTTTCCACAATGCATACATATTGACTATTGGAATTACTCCAAATTTACATAAAATGGTGATAGATACATACTTAAGTTTATTTCTCTTTTTTAAGTGATAAATACTTAGGTACATATAACTTTGACCAAGCAACTTTCTAATAAATTATAATTTCAAATCTATGTATTTATATGTACCGTAAATACTCTATTTATAGCCGGGGCTAAAATCCAAAACTGGATGTCACAGACCCGGCTACAATTAGAGACCCGGCTAAACTTTGTTCCGCCTCTAATTTTGGTAATTATAAAATTGGCGAATAATTAATGTTGACTCGATTTGAGTTATTTGATTTAGCAAAATATGGCATCAGTTAAATATTAGCTTTAAATCTACTCTTTAGACGAGGTTTTGTAGTTTTTAAAAACTTGCTGTCGTGAATATATGCTTTCTTATTAAGATCTTAACACGTAATTCTGTAAATTTTGACCTTATTCGTTTATTAACGGGATGATCAGTATTTTGTTAGGATTGGGTATGAGCGGGGACACAGCGAAAAATACTGGCCATAATTAGAGACCCGGTCATAATTAGGGACCGGCTATAATTAGATACCCGGCTAAAATTTTGAAACCTTGGTCTCCAGACCCGGCTATATTTGGAGACCGGCTATAATTAGAATAGGGCTATAAATAGAGGTTTTACTAAATTTTGGACTGCAAGCAAGGCCACTTGCATCGAGGGAATCCATTATTCATAAATACTTTTTTTAGAAAAGCTCCCGATAATTTGGGCGTCCTTTTCCTCTCCGGATCGCTAAAGTTTACGGCCACTACGCCAAAGTTGACTGAATACCCGTCCTCCTGCAGAAAAGAGGAACCACTTTTAATAACGAGCCATTGCTCAGGAAGGCCATGGTTGTAATGTACAGAATTCTGTGTCATACAGGAGTGAAGAAATTTCAGAACTGGCAATTTCCGAGTGGAAAACTTTCCAGTAATAGATCAAAGTTCGTATCAGGACCGTCTGCATTACTATGCATAAATATGCATAAATATGTGTGCATAAACATGCATAGTTTTCAGCACATATCGCAGGATTTTCACAGAAGGTTGTCCGAGGTATACAATTTTTATTTTAGGAGAAAGACGGGTCACATTTCTGCATGGAACCGATTAAAATTGGTTAACTGTAGTATAAACGTACCCATTCGAATGAGTCCAGTAGCGTCCAGGCCCCGTACATTTGCACATTAACGCCATCAATTCGCACCGCCTTTAACATCTCGTTGATATAAGAACGATGATATTCCGCCCGTTCGTGATCCTCCAGTCCATCCTCCGGGTGACCTTGGTATCCATTCTCCAAAAGGTATATTGGTGGATTTCCATACCTCTTTTTTATCCAGTTCAGCATTTTTCTTAAACCCCACGGAACCACGTAGAAACTCCAAGTGGTTGAACTGCTTGCGCCGGCGTGCCATGAGGGATCACTGGACAATTTAATACCGATGGGATCCGATATTCCAGCCGACCCGTGGTTCGGCGTCGTCGGTTCAATCAAACTTGTCGTGTAATGTGCAATCCCACAAAAATCCCAACTTCCTGGAAATTTAAACTATTTAAAATATCACAGGAATCTTTAAACCAAGGAGGCACTAAACGTAACAGGTACATATTTACATGAGACATATGCACGAAATAAGAAGCAAGAGCTTAAATATACGTTAAGATAATGTACTATAATAATACCCATGTTCACGTGGCTTCACTTTCCCCGAACGGGAAAGTGGAGGCACGTACATATATGCACCGATCCGGTATTGGATCGTGGACTTGTACTTTGACCACCTTATAATAAAGATCTCTTCCACTCTCACAAGTCCCTTTGGGAGTAACATTCTTTCCCATCGTAAATACACATCTCATACATCCATCCTTCAGAGCCACATACATAATACATAATTACATACAATGTACATACCACCATCCCAACCAATACATTTAATTATTTAATTATTTTGTAAATCTTAACTTATATTTTTCAAAATTTCTACCAAGACCAAAACGTATTTAGCTGGGAAATCTTAGAGCAAATAATGGTTCTCAGTTTATACAAAATGTTAGCATGATCAATGCAGGATTACAAGAATTTAAAATTCAATACATTATGGTTCATTTAAACTTATGTACCTCGTAATTCTGCAGCTTCTGCCAACGTGAATTGAAATGGTGTCGACACGACGCCCTGTTTTTGGCTGAGGCGTCCAAGAAATTCGGCAAACTCGTCGGGATATTTTCCGAAAAATATTGGAGATGCCACCACTCCCCACTGATAAGCATTTAATTAATCAAAACACTAAGAATACGATAAGAAAATAAATAATTTACGGTAATCTGCACGGCAAATTCGGCCATCTTAACGTGGCTCGGATTGGATTGATTTTTTGCTTCAAACCATTGGGTAAAAATTAGCATTCCTATTTTTCCATGTTGCTGTTTGCGAAATATTCTGTCGTATAGGTGATAAGTCTTTGCGTGAGATCTTAAAACGTTATGGACACAATTTTTGGCTTCCTCGATATTTCGAAGTCCTGGGGCTTCACTCTGAGAAAAGATTTTCAAATTTGTTTCAATATTTTGAGTAAAAAATGGTACGTCGAATTCTGCAGTAAGCAACAAAAGCCAGATTTGTATTGTACTTTTTTTACCCAATATTGCACAAAATTTTTGCGGATTTTATTCTGCAGAACGATAATTTTTAGCCTAATTAAAGTTATGTGATGATATATATAAAATCGGGCCAAATTTACACGCCAAAATATATCAAGTTTCTGCAAAAATGTTCAAGTTTTTGCTCGGGTAAATCGAAAATTAAAATTAGCCTTACCCCCACTAAATATCCCCAAAAACACATGGCATTTGGTTCGTTGAAAGTGACCCATTTCTTTACACGATCTCCAAACGTGCGAAATGCGAGATGTGAAAAATTCACAAAGTGCGAAATCACCTCGTTATTTGACCAACCACCAATTTCCATGAGTGGTTGGGGGAAGTCCCTGCGGCAGAAAAATACAAATTTTGGAAATATGTATAACTCAATATTCACGTTCAACGTGAGAATTTAAACACAATTTGCATTAACTTTGTAATTTGAACTAGGGCTAGTTATCCGATCCGATCGGATTATCCGAGATTATCCGACCATTAACTATAACAGGGATTCGATCCCTCGGAACTGATCGGACATATCCGATCCGACCATGTCCTAGAAAATGATCAGGTACAAATATCCGATCCGACGGATCGGATATTATCGGATTGGAACGACAGACTGATCTGTTGAACACTTACCATTGGTGGAGGGTGACGATGGGTTCGATCCCATTTTCAAGGAGGAGATCGATCAGATCATTGTAGTGCTTTATTCCCGCCGGATTTATGTAATCTACCCGGCCCGAGGGGAGGATTCTGCTCCAGGATAAACTGAACCGATACACTCCCGCCTAAAATTGTGTAATATTGAGAAAGTAGAGTCAATACAATTTGTAGAATATTTCTACATTACTGGTTTCCAGATTAAAAAATAACAGCCTAACATGAAATTCATTCATTAATTACTTCTAATTAATGAATGCGCAGTTCTAATTCGATAAATACTACATTTGTGGAGCGACTTGAAAACTGGACTTCATCTTGAGTGTTCGACACTTATTTATTGAGATTTCCTCATAAATATTTGCTGATAAATAAGACGTTTTAACATACCCTCAAATATTTTAGTAGAGCGACGTCCTCTCGATACTTGTGGTACGAGTCGCAAGCAATGTCTCCCGTCAAGTGGTCAGCAATCGGGGATGGCGTCCGATGAACAAATTCGTCCCAAATGTTTAACCCTTTCCCTGGAATTTTTATCGAGGATCAAGTTTTATTAAATAGTTATTCGATCATCTATTTTATTATTTACCATCCTCCCGCCATGCTCCCTCCGTCTGAAAGTAAGTAAGCCAAACCTGATTTACAGGGGTGGGCAAGATACTTGGTCAAGATACAAGATAAAAGATAGAAGATACAAGATAGCATCTTTATCTTGTATCTTCGTCGCCTGATCAGAGAAGTATCTTTTATCTTGTATCTTGTATCTTTTAGAAAGCCGAAAGTATCTTGTGTAAGTATCTTATCTAGATATGCCTGGCAGAAAAGTATCTTAAGATAGTTGACAAGATACAAGATACTTTTTTCAAAATTCCGTCAAATTAAGTAAATTTCTTACTACAGTCAGTGAATTTGATTATGAATTTGGCGTAACCAGAGTTTGGTGAATTTTATTTTATGTTTTGCCAATTACTAACAAACCTGTACATGCATACACATGTACATATACTCATGTATACCTACATATATATTATATAAGTTAATGTGTACATATGTACACATACGGACATACACATGCACAATGTGTATTGCACATTACTGATATGTAACTACGCTTAACTAATGTATAGGTATTGTAGGGTTTAGTTTGATTTGAATTAGCAGGGAATATATTACGAACCTCGTAAAAATATACGTATGTTAGTTAGAGGTCTAGTTTTTCGAAACTTTTCGAAACTTTACGAAATTTTTCGAAGTATAAGCACTTGCAACAAAATTTGTATGAATATAGAATTATTTTAAATTTTGTACTCACCAGATTTTTTCGTTCAAATTATTAAGCATGACTAATTGGGCATGAATACTAGGCTAAAAAATAAAGTATCTTATCTAATGTAAAAGTATCTTAAGATACATATCTTGTATCTTGACTACTCAATTTTTAGGAAAGTATCTTGTATCTTATATCTTGTGTACTTGGCCAAGATGTATCTTATATCTTGTATCTTATATCTTATCCTAGAAAGTATCTTATCTTGTATCTTGTATCTTATGACCAATGTATCTTGCCCACCCCTGCTGATTTACGTATTCGACAACCCAAAATCCTAAGACGGCTTGTGTGTCGCCGATTTGCAAGTTCGCGCCAGACTCTTCTACAAACCTAATATCAGTCTATGTATCATAATATGGATTGCCCCATAAGTTCTCGGAATTTTGATTTAGTAATTTCTTCGGACTGGGGTAATATTAGAATAACAAGGTCGATTGGAAAATGTACGTAATTTATTGAGGAATTTATGTTAAAAAACATAAGCTCGATACCCCCTTTGAAACCCATTTGTCACAGCTTTTTGCAAGCACTATCCATAACCGGTTTTCCCGACTTTGTGGTTACATTTTGCAGGATTAACAAATTAGCGTTCGGAATTCTGGGAAGTTTTTCGTTGTTTTTTGACGTGAGGAATATTCTTGTTTGGGCTAAGCCCAAAATTGTTCAAATTCTTTCGCTTGTTGAAAACTAGGTGCAATTGTGCAATTTCCTTCAGGGGTGAAAAACCAACTTTCCCACCTCGTGGTGCCTTATAACAATTCTCCAGTATTGGCAACTTGTCATATCCGACCGAAACAAAATGTGTTCCCCATTATAGCTATGAATGGAGGGAATCAGACGCCCCTTAATGCATTGGTTTAGTTACGCACCTAAGACCAAGATTCCTTTTGATATGGAGGGATTCAAAATGTGACCATTTGCGTCGGAGGTCTACTAAACCATGCATTTGGTGTATTATTTCGCTTTTTCAATAGTTCTTTCTTCACATTTCACTTCGCTACGAGTTTGTGCATGGAAATATTGCGAAATGGATATATCAAATTGGTCGGATGGGAAATAACTCTACTCGATAATGGCTAAAAATCTGGATCTGGCTTTCTTGTAAATTTTTGGAAGCCCGCGTTTGGTTCTAGATTTTTTATCTTAACCTACCTTGGACCCATCTTATACTTTTCAGATCTTATCCCCAATTAATGTACTTTAATTTGCCTTAGCGTTGGTTCGCGTAGTTTGACCGTGTGGCAGTGGTAAGGCACGGGGTGGATGCGTTCTATTTGTGCAGACGCTTAACAGCTTTCAAGTATTTCGGACTCGATTGAGATACCTAGTGTCAGGTAATTTTTATAAAAGCTGAAGTTTTATCGTCTTAATACCTTCACAATACAAGTAAATTGTTGATTTTTGATGGCCTTGACTTCCTCAATTTTGCCAGACATTTTTCCGATTAAAGTCAGCGTCATTTTCATGGCAGTGAAAAAATCGAGTTTGGAGTGCCTGTTGTTCGGCTCGCGTCAGTTTGTTCAACTTAATTTGTCAGATTATTGATATACAATTATTATTAGTATATTAGTTGGTACTTAGGAGGACATACAGAGAATTAAATTATTCGTGCGTTTTCTCACCGAATTAATCACATTTATAACATTCCGAGTACTTATGGGGCAATCTATATAATCTCTAACTAATCTTACCACTGTTTGAAGTAAATGTATTATCAGTGGTACATTTCTTATCTTAAGTAAAAATTACTTCATCCAGAGTTACATTAACGTGACAAAGAGTAAAATCTGCTCTGAGTTGAATATACATAATTTAAGAACTGAAAGCGTATTTATTTTTAAAAGGGTTACATTAATGTAGCCCTTGTAAAATTTAAAATTTGTAAAATTGTAGCACTAATTAGTGTAGCAAATGTGGAATCAACCCATAACTTGCAACGTTTCCACTAACCTGATAACTTGAAGAGGAAAATCCCCACTGAAAGTTTGGCGGGAAAACGTTGAATAAAAACTTGTCTTCAGCTCGATTTAGTAACACAAGAGCCATAAATAGTGTAATTCGCAACGTCATTTTGTGCAGATGCATAAATATCTATCATTCTCCTTCGTAATTAGACATTTAATACAATTCTGCAATAATTTATTGCCAGTGGCAATTTGCCACTGAACCAAATAATCCATAAATATGCATGGAAAATTCCTGTCCCCATTGTTCTGTACCAACAAATAAACAAATCATGTATAAGTTTGCACATATGCCAATAACGCCATTCCCGTTGGAGGACAAAATAATGAATATAAAGCAAAGCAAATTTTTGAATATTTTTGGCTTGCAAATGCTGTCGGGTTCATTGATAGCTTGAGGGGTGATCCAGGTAGTACGCCGTCAAAAATTCTGGATTTTGGCAACCACACGCCCACCCGACGTAAATAAATGTTAAGGGATAGGGAATGTTAATAACCCATGTTTCTGACAAGATCACCCACGTGTTGCCGAATTTGTTAAATTTCGAGAACTATGTAGAATGATTTCAAGAAAATGAGTCGGCCAAACCAACCACTGAAATATTTAATTAAGTTTTCCAAGCATGAAACTGAACTTTTCTATACATCTGATTTCCAGTTTTTTTAAAAATAATTTCGTAAACAAAAATAGTCATGCTATCGAATTGAACTTTTTATTCACTGTTAACAAGACCTTGTATTAATAATTAAATGTAAATATGTATATAATTCATCAGCCTAATTTATTATGAATTTATAATAAAGGTTACTGTTCCTGCAATTTTTAAAATAAATAAGTAAAACGCTAAGCAATTAAAAATTTTGTAGATGAACTGATTTGAATTTACTCAATTGTCAATTTGGATATGACGCTAATTTCTATTACGCGTACCGAGCTGTAGGATAGCTTGCATAGCTTGCAATTCCACACATGTTACCAGCCCGTCTTGCCAAACGAAAGTATCCCTGCTCACCCCACGAGGTTCCCCAGGAGTTCTTCACAATCCAGTATAAGTTCCCACTCGAATCCGTCCCATATCTACAAAAATTGTTGTTACATATTGTTCAGTACTGTCAAACATGATTTGTCTCATTTTAATATTTCTGATTATTATGTAAATGCATTATGAAACTCGTCTCTCTTGTCCACTTTTGCCCAGCAATTTCAACTTGCTCCGCACTCTCAGACCAGCCGTCAGCCAGCACGGAAGCCAAATTAGTCACTCTTCAACAATTAATCCAATATATTTATGAGTCAATTCGGTCTTAATCTGTAAACCATTAGATTTTTCTTGACCATTAAATTGTAACTTAACATCAAAATTAAAACGCCCCCATTTTGTGCTCTACACATTATTAAACATCAAAGTTTTCCACTATTCACAATTACACATTAACATCCTCATCCAAAGTCACACAATTACCATTCACAGACCACACCCTTCTTCACATATCATATGTAACATATGTATCTAGATAAGTTGGAATTTCGAAAGAGGGTTGCTGGGCCATCATGGTTGATTTACATACGTCTGGGAATACATAGATGACTTACCCAACCACTAGGACGGCATGATTCGGTGCACAACTGGAACAACGGTTATCGTTGAATATTCCTGACGAGTAATATTGCATCAATAGTGGCAGAAATCTAAAAATTGTAGCATTAAACAAATTTAAGTTTTGATTATATACGCATATTCCTGGCTATTAATCTTCTTATAGTTTTGGAGTGATTTTATTAAAAATCAATAATATTGGGAGAAACGAAAAGAAGTGTGGGGCTTGCTGCAGGACGGCTTTTTTTACATAATTGGTAGTGGAAGATTTTTTATTCAAAATTTACAAATTATTCACTTTCATTAAATCTCTATGTGGCAGCTATTTAAGAAGTATGCAAAATACGTAATATTTTATTCGCTAGGTTATGTTACTCCCATCCAAAAATAGTTTCTTGAAGATACAATTCAGACTGACTCTCATACCCTAACTAACTAACTAACTGACTAACAAAACTAACTAACTTATACCCCTCAATTCTAGTTAGCCATATTCTGCTTTCCAGTGCAAACCAGTAAAAAATACACAAAAAGCTGTTAAAATGCAATTCATAAATTTTTCGAAACTGCATGCATTGAAAGCCAGGCGTTCAGTTTGGTTGTTTAAACTCACCGGTCCAATTCTCCTCACGGCGTCTTCCAGTGCTATCTCATCTCCTTGAGTAACTCGCACGTATCCTGTCATGCCAGTCACGGCATTCGTATCACTACGATATTGGCAGAAATCTTGTTCGCCTCGGTATGGATAACTGGCTTGTGTGTTAATTCCACGGTTACGTATGACGTAATTGAAAGCATTAATCATATATCCGCCCTTGCAGCCTAAGTTTCCATAATCTGTTGAGTAAATCAGGGATTATTTACTAAATATGAGTTTTGCATTTAAATTGCAGCCTCTCCACTTAAACGATGCATGAAGGAAATAATGTTGAATGTCAGAATCATATCTGTTAAAAAAAACTTTTTTCATTCAAAATTCAGTCATCCCGATTTCTGACGGAGGATTTTCATTCACATTCAGTCATTTTCTCTCAAGCTCATTTCATATCACGTCATCTGACCTCATTTCTTACTCCGCCCAATTATTAAGCATAGGGTGAAAAATGAAACGAAAGAAAAATCCTTTCATTTACAGTCACTCCTCTGAAATGATGGAATCTTTCATTTAGTTTCATACGAATGACAGGAAATTCATTTTCATTCTCAATCATTCTCTATGAATGAAAGTGAACAGGTATGGTCACAATTAGACTTGGGCGATGTAGGTGGAACGGAATTTCGAAGGTTTTGTTAGGATTTTCTACTCCACTCGCGCACCTCTTGCCCAAGGGAGAGGGAAGGAAATTCGCAAAAACCGACGAATTTCTCAATGATGTAAAGAGTTATCGCTGTTAAACTTCGAACAAACTTCCGCTATTTTTCCCACTTAAAACTTCATCATTTTACAATGTTTTATTGCTTCTTTGATAGTTTCTGCTTAGTTTCAAAATCCAAAATGAAAGAATTCGAAATTTTCATCAAGTTAACTTTTTCAATGTCTTTTTTTCAAAAAAACATATTTTAACCTCGAAAAGAAACGATTCAAGTTGTCGATTCAAGGTCATTCATTTCAACCGAATTTAAAACTGACCAAATTAAGTGAGGGTGGAAGCTTAAAATTATTTAGGTAATTTTACTCACTCCGCTTGTGATGCCGATAAGGATTATGATTATGGTAACGTTACAAAAAATTCCTAACCAAATCAAACAAATTTTTTATCAAAGTTTTTAACAACGAAAACAGAATTCCTTAGAAATGTCAAAAAGATCCTTAGAAACGTTAAAAATTCTTTAGCAAAGGTAAAAAAATCCTTAGCTACGTTAAAAAAATTCGTGAAAACGTTAAAAATTCTCACTCGTAAGAGAAATTAGCAAATTGCTAGCTTAGCAGCGATGTCAAAAATGCATTATTTAATTATAAATTCCATAGTCACTTGCCAATCTAGTTGATGTTGCAGGCTAGTTGAGTTAATAATTGCCACTTACCGGAGGAACAATCGATTAAATTCTGTTCCGATAAATTTGGTAATACATCAGTCCGTCTTTTGTGCATACCCTCCATTGCTCCCGTCTACATACATATGCATTGGAAAGATCCTTTTTCATTAGTATTGTCAAAGCCAGGGTAAGGAAAATTCCCGGGTTTTGCTATTCAAAACTCATATCCTGGGGTTTTATCTGGGTTTTGCGGGTAGCCGGGGTACTCGGGGTTTTGGCGAAAACTGAGTCAGTACCACATGTATTATATTATGAAAAAAATTTACTTTTCAACTATTACAACAAAGCTGTTCATCAATTCAATTTTGGCATCTAATTAACTTACAAAATTATCAGGAACATGCTGTTTTAATATACTTATTACGCACTTTTTTAAATTTGAAAACCCCGACTACCCGTGGGTATTGCTCAAATTTGCTACCCCAATACTCATCAAAACCCGCAAAACCCCAATACCCCAAAAACCCGGGGTAGCATACTCTGGTCAAAGCTCGTACATAATAGGGAGGAAACTTACTGCAGAAAAACTCCAACATGAACCACAAGAGCCTTGATTTTTAACCGGTGTCACAAATCCAAGCCATCTCCAATCCATGGGTGGTGGCGAATACGACGTTGCCGCAGATGAAATTGTTTCGGATTGTCCATCAACTTGTACATCTGTACGATTTGGAGCCTTAAAGCCGTTCATTATCGAGTTAAATTCTTCCGGTTCGAGATCAGAGTATTCGTTGGTGGCTGAAATATAGAAATTATAATAAACACTTAAGAAAGTTGTCGAGACATGAAACTCATAACAACCTTTTTTCAAGCTACATCGGAGTTTGTTAGGGAGTTATGTAGAAAAAAAATCAAGCCAAAAATTAAGAATCGCGTGACACTCATAAATACTTCCGTTGAATGGCCCCTTTATAAAATAATTTCAATTTTCGAGTTAAGTTTCATATTTTTCTTCAAAGGGGGAATTCAACGGAAATATAAGTGTCATGTGACTCCTAATTATAGGGTTGATTTTTTGACATAACTCGCTACAAAATCCTGGTGTATCTTGAAAGAGGGTTCCATTGTCAGAATTGTGTACATATGACACCGTACCAAGTTTATACCTACTACTGCCATAAGTTTTGACCACTACACAAATTAATATAGCGGGCTCAGTTTATTGAATTTTGAAAACATAGCGATATCACGAGAAAGCCCATTAAATTTCCTACAAATTATACCAGGCACTTTCCAAATTTCCTCCATTCGAAGCTACAAGAGCCCAAAGTCTAGGTATCCACATACCACTCACGGTACGCACTCATTACAAGTAATATTAGTCTCATTTCTAAGCGACAGATTTTTTCTCGGATTTAAAACTTATGTGGGGTTTAGCACATGTATCTGGCTTCAGTTTGGACCACATGTCATAATCCAGAAGGTTGAAGCTCGGCGGAAGTGAATTTTATTCTCGGTCCGAAATGGAGTCAGAAATTTTGGAATTTTACCCCATTTTTACGATTTTGGCCTTATCAGAAGGTCCTGAGCCCTGCTCGAATATCTAGCAGCTATTTTTTAATAGAGTGTGGTCCAGTGGTTCTCCCATTAGCTCGATAACTTCAAAAAATACTTTTTAACAAGAAATTTCACCCCCAGAGGTAAAAAATTCACTTTTTGACCAAATCCAATCTACACCGAATAAAAAAATCACAGAATCAGGATGATGTGTCCGATTACTATTTTAAAAATTTTTATGAATAATACGGACTGGTAGGGTGTGGACACAGTGCTTGAACTGATTTTATATGGCCTCAATTGTAAAAGTTTGCCTATCTTTCAAAAATATTTATTTTCATTTTTCAAGCGCGTACCGCATGATCAGTGCCCGGCTTTTGAGGGGTCTATTTTTACTTGGCGTGAAGTTAGCAAGTGTTGCTTTTCACATCTTAAAGACATAAGTCCTAGGTCGAGCTTAGGGGCCTGGGACGTAGTTTTACTTGGCCCGTTCATTTGTAGGGAATTTTTTCTTATGGTCCGGCATGAATTCAGGTTTTGCGCGCCTTCGTGATTTTTCGTGACCTTTTTGATCGTTCCCTTCAACTCAGTTTTCGGCTATAAACACCGCCAATGTTAGTGGATCATTTCATGGTATGGTAGACCACCTTGCGTTTAGTTCTGATTTTTAATGAACTGTTGAAAAATGTCGGATTTTTATGTTTACCAAAATGTTTCTGAAAAATTGCAACACGTCGATTTGTCCGATCTGTCATTTTAGCACCTTGTATCACAAAAAATTTCGGAAGATGGTTTCTGATAGACAATTGCATGGGGAATTCAATAAAAAATAGTACAACTGGCTAACGTAACTGCTACTGATGTTTTTGGCCCGCGGAATGCGTGAGACATTATTTATGGCAGTAGTAGGTAGCTCATGGCTGGATTTGAATTGTGCGCATTTATGAGGTCTATGGCGCTAAGCAATGCATTTTTGCGTTTAGCCTCGACGGTAGAATTATCGTAATATTTTCCGTATTTTATCTGGAATACGAATTTATTTTTTCTCAGATTCTATTACTGAAACATATTACTAATATGTTTAGTAAGATGGCGTAATATGATATTACGACAATTAACAATTCATATGTATGTGTTACAAATATGTATGTACCTTAAAAGCGTCCTATTTTACCGTATCCAAAATTTCCTTAGTTAAATTTTGGATGAGCGACTCTGCAAGGGGGATAATTGCGAAGAAACAAATAACTAGCTTCATCTTGTGATCTTTTCTGTATTAAAATCTTGTTAATCACAGTTTGACTGTCTTTAAGAAATACTTAGAACTTGTAAAAATTGCTACTTTCTTAAGTAAACTGGTCAAGAGTAGTGATGACAAGAGAATGAGTTGGCACAACTGGATGACATAACTTTAATGAATTGGATTTTAGTAGTTTGCAAAATTTATGGGTTGACTTAGGGGCCATACAGAAAGGATGTGACTGATTTTCGGGAAATTTTGACCCCTACCCCCCCCCCCCCAGTGTGACCTATGTGCCCCATGTAATGATTAACATGCGAAGGATGGGATGTCTTGACCCCTACACATCCCCTCACATGCTTTCTGTACAGACCTTCATGTTCCTCTCTGATGTGCATATGTCAAGATCAAGAAGAACTTATGTATACCTAATACAGACATGCATATGTGTAAAGTAAAAATGGAAATGGCATATTTAAGTTCAACAGGCATACATATGTACGTACGTACGTGTCAGCATTTGAACGAGACGTCCCATTAACTCGTGTCTTCATTCCTTGAAGTTATTTCTCAAGATTTGCACGTTGATGTATGAATTCAATGTGAAGAGCGAACTGATAATGAGGCGAACCGTAGGTCACGGATAACTTAATGGAGCATTCAACTTCAACTGCTCTTACCAACTGCTTATCTTCCTCTACAAAGCTCAAAATTTATACTACCAAGCAGTGGTGAGCTGGGCCAGCCTTTTTGAAAACCCAGCCCAACCCAACCCGACTTCCTGGGTCAAGATAAAAACCCAACCCAACCCAGCCCGGCTTTTATTTTACCCAACCCAACCCAACCTAGTTGGGTTGGGTAAACGGGTAACTGGGTAACCCAACCCGACAATTTTGAGTTGAGAATACTTGGGAAATCACTGCTAGAGTACGTTTCCAATCATCATAGAGCATAAATTTATAGTTTGTGGCCAAAAAAGTCAAAAATGAGACGAAGTTGAGCTCGAAAAGTAAACCCAGCCCAGCCCAACCCGAACCAAAACCTTTCTATTGTTACCCAACCCAACTCGTAATCGGCCCAACCCACCCAAACCCAGTTGGGTTGGGTTGGGCCGGGTTGAACCCGACATTGTTGGGTTGGGCCGGGTTGAACCCGACATTGTTGGGTTGGGCCGGGTTGAACCCGACATTGTTGGGTTGGGTACTCACCCCTGCTACCAAGTCATCATTTTAATTCATTTTCCAGACTAGAATTTATCATATACATACACAAATCAAAATTGCGGTGCACTTTACACTCCTAATTGCTTGAACATTTATGCATGGCGTGATCGTACCGTGCACATGCTCCAAGACGCAGTCAATCAATTATTTCAGGAAACTGAAGAAATGAAAGGTAATCTGAAAGGAGACGAATGCCTAAACTGTTTTTTGGAGTTTTTGAAGTTTTTGGAGTGGGGGTTATGTACAGGTGTATGTATCCTAAATATCCAATATTTTGTTATCTATGAAAGTTTATGTAGTAGGAACATTTTTTTGCAAATAAACTAATTCAAAAGCCCATTAATGCTATAAAATGTGCTAATTGTCTTGCAAAACTTGGGATTGAGTGATTCTAACATGAAACGTAATTTTGACGTGTTGTAGATAATGAAAACTTTGGGTGTCTACATAAACCTGCGTTTTGAATTGGATTGTGTAGCGGTTACTTGAACAGGACGTACTTTTCTGAGCTAGATAATTCTTCTTGTCACGATTTGCAAATACTTTAGGAAATCTGATCTTTTAATTTCCGAATAATAATTCTTTACATTTTTTGTTTATAACAAAAATTACAAATGACCTGCAAACCTCAGATCTTGTCCTTTCTCCTACAAATAACAGGGCAAAACCCAAGGTTCTAAATTATTTAGCATCATGAACCACAAAGTACTGCAAAAAAAATTGGTACTCCTGCATAAGAAAAGCATTGTGTAGTATTAAATGATAATGTAATTGTGTAATAGATGAATTCATCTTCGGAGAAATGGATAAGATATCCATAAATAACATCAAGAATATATATGTATAAGGGTCAAATTTATTGCGCCCAAGAAAATAATATTTTGTTCCAAAGAAAATTAATAATTTCTGCAATCATGAAATCTGCGATACAGATACAGATATACGATATATATTTTAAATCTTGTATTTTACGCATTGTGATTTTTATTATTTGTTTGGAATTTACTCTAAAAATCTTGGAATAAAAAAATAATTAATTGCAAGATCTACAATTGGAACAAAATATTAATTTTCTTTGGAAGAAAAAATATTTTTCTTGTGTGATTTAATTCGCACCCTACGTATAAGAATTACTAACATTGATAAGATGAATAATAAGCTAAATAACATTGCCGATAAGCTTGATTTTATCGAAAGAGGGATCCATCCCTCTGAACCAAAGATGCACTATGCATCGTGCCCACGCTTTTGGGAACATTCCAAGGACAAATATGTATTTTAGATGGGACAAGAAATGACAAAATTGTCAATTATTAATGCATTTAATTATTTCTCTGTCCTTCACCTGACCATGTACACGTTGTGCTAGTCTCTTAAAATACTTACCCAGCGTCACCAGGCAGAAGGTACGTGTTGGGTTTAAGTTCTGCTGCAGCAAGTAATAATGTCGCGACTGGAAAGTTCTTTTTACCATTGTCACGCGATGTTAGGTAAGTTTTCATATTTATGTAAATTTAGATAAAGTTATACATGCATAAATATTGTTCTGAGGCTTATGAATACTTGTATTAATATTAATGCATGCGTGCAGATTTTTATGCACGTCAGTAAAGTGAAGTGTGCAGCGAGTATGTGTATTTATCACATTTGAGTCGCTACTGCTGGAATTTGTAATGTAAAGCTTGGATCTTGGTGGGATAAATTTTACTTTGTTCATCAAAGGTGAATCCGTATTTTTGGGTTTCCGCTAATGCGCAAATTTGAGCGCGTGCCTGGGATCTGAAAGAATGCTCCCCAAAAGTCTAGAATTTAGTGTAACAAAGCAGATTGGTGACTGCTCTTACCCCACACAATTTATGAACGGACCTGAAGCTTGATTAAAACAAAAGCTTAAATTCAGCGATATAAATAATCGATACATACATACACGTCAATCTTATATATTTAAAGTTAAAGGTTAATGTTATGTATTTCTAGCTGGGGTTGTTCCTGTCCACGAATATTTATACACTTTCCGAATGGATCAGAGTGACATTCCATCTAGGAGTCTGAACGTTTATCCTTTTCAATAAAATACATGCATAATCCAACGATGGGACCCCTATGCATTGAGCGAACATTAAAAGAAGAGTAGAATTCCTGACAACTTGGTCACGATCATCCTTGCACAGTTACATACTTCGGAGGACGATTGTGTTTCATGATTAATTGAGCCTTACTTGTTGGATAGGAAACTGATAGTAATTTTCCGATCACCTGAAGCCGAACGAGGTCACTGAAGAAGGATGAAGGTTGATAGGCACTCAAAAATTGGATTCTTCTTTCAATGATGGCACCATAGTTGCTTGCTAATAAAATTATTCCCTCAGTGGATTAATAAATTGATCTCGGGAAATCATTATCTACCCGGTTTTACTACATTATATTTAAAGTACAGTTCATATTTTGAATCAATTACACGGTAAATATGTACATTTAAATAATGTTCAAATCAAGTACCATTTTACAAAATTTAGCATTGCCTTACGTCACAAATTTCTCCCTGATTCCGCTCAGAGGATCATATTCCATGGATTTGTCCTCTCTTCTCAGCCAACCCGCTGCTTGCCGTTATAACCTCGTGTTCAACCAGATTTCCGCCGCAGACTTACCAACTACCCGGAATGTCCCGGTTACCCTGACGAAACGTGTTTTTTCGGAAACTTATCAAAAAAAGTTCTACCTCCCATCCCTGAAACCCTTTGAACTCGACATGTTCCAAAACAGGGGTTGGACTTGTGAAATTGTCCTTCTATTTGTCACCATAAATCAGCCAGATTGGACTAAAACGAACGCCAAAGCGTTAGGATATTGGATCACGGCTCAGGGCAGATACCGTTTCAGACAACCATATAAGCGGACCGGGTACGAAACAAAATTAAACGTTTATCCCGATAGTTTTTATTTTCTATTCATCCCAAGCAACGCCAAAGTACTGGTAGCCGACTTAAATTCGCCCATTTACGAATAACCCTTCACCATGGAGAAACTACTACCCGTCATATTTTCAGTTTTACTATTTCTCACCGACAATGAGGTGAAATTATGCGAGCAAAGGAGTAAAGAGAGTTTTCCTCTGCTCAAAACTTTTGCCTGCAGAACCCCAACCAGTGAAATGACGGGTCGAGTTAACTACCCGTCATTCTCTCCAGAACTTGACTGGGTGGAAGGTAGCTTTAAAGAAGGCAGTGCTATATCCAAGATTCTAATGTCCACGGCACTAGCCCAGCTTAATGCAACCGTCCACAAAGGAATTGATGATGAGGAGTGTTACTCAGTTTTCACGGAGGGTTGCCTCTACCCGGAATTCGGGCATGAAAACGGGATCGCCATGATACTCCAAAGTCACCTCGTTACCACAACTTTTCCCGGGATGTCCTTCTTTTCCTGTTACTTGGCAGGGAGGGAGATCTCATTTTCCCTGTATTTTACCCCTTACGACGCAGCCACGTGGTTCGCCACGTGTTCCACCCTGCTGCTATCCTCGTTCATCTTATCGGTGGGATTTTACCTGATAAACAAAACGATCTATTGGATTGAGCCGGTGCTCTACTTTTTCGGTTGTTTGGTCGACGAGGTTATGGAACTCCCCGAAAAATGGGGGAATTTACTGCCCTTTAGACTCCTAAGTATTCCGTGGCTCTTGGTCGGCATGTTGATAAGCACGTGTTACCTAAGTATTTTCATTACAAATCTAAACTCGCCGATCCCTGGGGAACGGGTAGACACGTATGAAAAAATTTCTTGTCATGATACCCGTCAAATAGTAGAGTCGAAAAATTCGGGAGTTCTAATGAAGAAAACGGATGTATTTTTGGCGTTACGGGGCGATAAGATTGAGAATTTTACTAACCACCCGGTCCTTA